CATGGACTTTGTCCTAAACTCAAAATAGCTGCCAACAATGGCAGCAGCACTGTTGTTGGGGCATTACGGTAATGACAATGAAGATGGGGGAAAACATGAACACCAAACTGATTGAGAGGCTAATTAAAACTGTATAATGACGCTTTAAATTTCCTGGATGATTATATTAATTGATATACATTGACTGCCAAGACAATTAATTTGAGAGGCCTACTAGAAGCCATGGGGCTCTGCCAGTGATCATACTGATTACAAATGCACTTCATTTTTCTGCTTTTCTGCTTCATTTTTCGGTGACTTCCAGACTGAAGCTGTAGATTTGTCTTTCATATAACTGCTTTGCATCTTGTGCAACCTCACAGAGGTCACCCAAGCTATCTGTACTCAGGCGCAGCAATACATATTTGCTAAAAAAATGAACACCCATCCTTTTTTGTCCATGATAGCAATTTAGATAGCCAGAGACAAGTGACAGCTGTTGATATTATGGCTCGTTCATCTCGAGGGGCCTACCAGTACATTCTAAACATAGATACAGGCATGAAAGGGCAAGTGCTGATTAAAGAATCAATAGTCAGGATTTCTTAAGATAAGAGTTTAATTAAGGATAAGATTTCTCCTATCTTTGAAACTTAAGTTATGATAGGACAAGCAGTTTGAGTATTTTTCTGTAATGACGCCCCAGGAGAGGAAAGGAAGTGAAGGAAATAGAACAATTATGATGGGAGGAGAAGTGATGGAGGAACACTAACATAAAACCATAGACTGCATAAAAATAACGGACATGGCCACCGTCACATCACCCATTGGTTTGTGGGCTCCCGTTCTGAAGCTTTGAGTTTGACATTTCGGCGGCTGCCATCTTGGATTTTTGACACCAGAAGCGACCGTATTTGAAGGTGAGGGTGGGGCTTGAGTCATAGATTGTGGCGACGCCTCGAAGACAGCCTGTCACTCAAAGCGGCCACGCCTTGAATTATGCATCACTTTAAGCCTTAATAAAATGTCAACAGGTGAGTTATATGAAAATTCATTCCCCTAAAGTTGTCATGAACAGGGAGATTAGCTATAGTGACCAAAATCATTTTTTGTACCAGGCTGTAAACATGTTTAATTCTGCTGTCAAAATGGGCATTTTAACATGAGGGTCTATGGAGACTGGCTCGCTTTTGGAGCCAGCCTCAAGTGGCCATTAGAGGAACTGCAGGTTTTGGCTCTTCCACATTGGCCTAATTTTTCAGCACCAGAGATTGACGCTTGAATAAAACTAAAGTAACAAAAGGAGTGATGAATATTGAAGGAGCTAATGAAGGACAGAGAAAGCATTTCAAAAAAATATGAGACCTGTCCATGATCACACGAGGAGGCTGGGAAGGAACAGAGAAAACAGTACAGAAAAAGAGATCCAGCTCGTTCTCAGTATCATGCAGCCCTGTGGGAGAGAAACCCCAAACACATCTGTCACTCTCAAAAATCACAAACTACGAGTGGGAAAAATACAAAAACACACACACAGCTGCTGCCCATGTCCCTTGACACAAGTCAACAGCTGCTGAGCGACGCGCGCGCGCGCGCGCACGCACACACACACACACACACACACACACACACACACACACACACACACACACAGAACTAGAGGAACAATCCGTCCTATTAACAATCGTCTGAGTTAGACAACGGCTCAGATCAGTCAAAACAACCACCACGACCACACATGCCTCCCATCTGGGCTCCTTTCTCACCACTAACCTAAGACTGTGGTGTTGCCGCAGCAACCCAAACTCACGACATGTCAGTCAGCTGACGAGACTTAAACGTCAACAAGGCACATATACTCAAATCAAGTTAGAGGTTTTCAACACTTCACATGCCTCTGACAGTGTGCATCAAAACTGAACATTATTATTGTAAAACCAGACTTTATGACAGAGCTGTTGCACATGATTGTATTACAAGTGTACCTTATAAAGTGTCCACAGAGTGTATAAACAATAGACATGTTTTATATGTTAAACAACTAGAGCGGCTGCAGAATATCTCCTGATGATGCAGTCTTCTCTTTTTTCAATTAACAAGCTGCCTGTCATTACTTCACAGTGGGGATGCTTGTTATCTGCCTGATACTGTCTTCTGATGTCTTTGATAAAGACTTTCTATTCATCAGGTCACTGCATGTTCCTCAGGGCTGTACTGATGGTATATGAGTACAACAGCCTACATTGAGAACTCTAATTAAACAGACAGCTTTTTTATGCAACAGGAAGTTGTATTGATCACTGCAGCTACAGTAACTAACCACAATTTGTTAGAGGCTTTATTTTATAACCAGTAAGGAGCACTGGTTGTATCACAGTCTTTTACAGTGTCCTCCTTTGGACCCGTTTGGAATCATGTAGGATTTACCACGTCTGTGATACCAGAAAAAACAGGTTTAAGCCCAAAGTTAGCCAGCTAACCTACCCATCCTTCATTCAAACCAAAGACACGGGCAACATTTTCCTAGGTCCTTGTTCTACACTGAATGGAGCAGCCGATGTTTTGAGTACGAGCTCTCAAGATGTTGGTTAGTTGCCTGGAAAAGGCTGAATTATTAAATTATAGACTATGGTCTAAATTATACTTCAACAAGCTGACAGAACTTTGTCTCACATTTTTTTGTATTTATAGTTTGGCAACAGTACACGCACAGTGATCTCATAGGTGCAGACGGCGAGGCTGGCTGGGGTTTGTTTACATTCTGCAAAAGGTGGTGCGGGAGAAGAAGTTGAGAGTTTGGAAAATGATTTCCTGTTTGCCATCTCCACTTTGCTGATGTGATAAAGGGATAAGCAGTCTTCAAGGTGCATGCCCTGAACAGAAAATGCAGATATAAGGGAAATTAAATTTACTTCAGAATGTGTGCCTGCTGTTTTAATTTCTAGTCTGTGGCATCAATCTAATACACCGGATCAGTTTTGGTTTAAATACTGACGCATCAAATGGATCAGCAACCAGCCAGATGTGACCAAAACCTGGACCAAAAGTTTTTCATCTTTGGTTTACATCCTGACAAACATCTTGCATCCAATAAAGATATTGCTGTTTTAAATCTCTGTCTACTGCTTGCAAAAATAGTTATCTCACTCTCTTGGAAAGAGACCAGTAAACCAAAGTTCATTACTCGGATTAAAGAGTCTACCTCTGCAAAAGATGGCATACATCACATATCACATACAATATTATTATTACTATTGTCTGAATTTTGTAATCTTTAAAACGTCTGACATGATGGACAATAATCTATGTGATTCAATATTCTTCTGAATGAGAACACAGTTGCTTCCCAGTTCTTATAAGGTATTTGAAAATGAAAAGGAAGATGGAAGATGTAACCAAAACCCTTTACATTCATTTTTTTTTTTTTTTTTACCACTATCAATATAAAACTGAAATGCTGCATTCAAGCAGTTTTTGGTGTCCGAAAAATGTAAAAACACTAATGTGATCACATTCAATGAACACCATAAGAGTTTTGAGGATTAGAAAACGAGAAAGGCACAAACTGAGGCTTAACTGTCATGTAAAAAATCTGCAGCTACCACAGTGATTATTTTTAAGACAATAGTAAATTCTACAGAAATTTCTAGTGCTTACAATCCCAAACTTTTGAGTATGATCTCGAGACATGCGCTTGATATGCACTGATGTTGAGAGAAACCAGGCAGCCAGAGAGGAAGTCCCTTTCGCTTCTAATTAGCTTGGACCAGCAGCTCTGTTGCTCACTCTCTCGGTTGGTTGATTGATCAGTCTGTTGATTGGTAGATCGATCCACATTAATTTCCCCACCCTTTGGTGGCCACTGTACTGATTGGTTGTAATGGATCCTGAGCCAAAGGACAGCTGATTTACTGTTCATGTTAACTGGCACAAAGGGGCAACGCATGGATGGATGCAGCTATGTGGTTGCAGATGGTGCTTGCTTTTCTTTTCCCTCAAAATGTTGACAGTTCTGTTATACAGTCATGATCATCCGCAAGTGAACTAAGCTGACTGGTGTGGATTACAGAGGATGAATTGGTTGTTTGAACCAGGACACTTAGCATTGCATATAGACCAAAAAACAAACAAACAAACAAAAAAAGCACATCACGTCCTCGGCAGAGCCACCAGTTACTCCTGCTGTGACAGTTATGAATCTGAAAACGCAGAGAGGCGCCTGACCGATGAATGACAGTCTGTTTATTTACCAACATTATGGTCATTTGTAGAGCAGCATGATAAGGCAGCCCTGCATCAGTTGTATGACAACACGCAGCAGCATGGTCATCATCACACCCAGTGCTGCAGGAGCTACCTCGTTAAACCTAGTGTGAGCCATCAAACCCTCACTGTCACCATGTCATGCAGTAATAACAATCCAGTTACCACTGCTAACCCGTCTCATTACATTACCCCCGGCAGTCAATCTGAATCTGAAATAAAACCGCCCTCATTAAGATCGTAATTATATGTACACCGAGCTAGCTCCAAGCTAATGAAACTTTTAGGGACCCACCTCTTAATCTTGAAAACGACACCGGTCCAGCTCTGACTGTTAATGTGTTCATAACGGTAGCCACTGGTGCCGTTAACTGGTGGCAGTAAGGCTAGCTGCCACAACACGTTTATAGACTGTTGGGTACCATATTAGTTAGCGTTAGCTGTCAGACTGGCCAGCTTCTTGACCTTAGCCTGACAACACGCTAGCTAGCTAAGTCAGCTAGTCCCATCTTAAATCAGCTTATAATTAAATTTAAACTTCCCACCGCTTCGTGTCATCTCGCTTTAAAATCCTCTCTTGCTTCTGTAACGGCTGCTCGGTGTCCCGGACACTGATGGAAAACACTGACGTTACTTCGACACTTATTTGCCGTTTAAGTAGCCTTGCGTGCTAACGCTAGCTCCGTGGCTAACATAACGGTTTGACGTTACGCAGTCTCTCCGGTTAGAGGCACCGAGCTGTCACAATAACAACATACCTTCAGGATCGCCCGCTGGACACTGAGCTGACTTCGTGGAGGTCACGGTGGTTGTGCTGCAGATGGCCGGAGAGGTTCATGGATGTCGGTCCCCGGTATCCAAACTCATTAACGGCGGAAAAAAACATCCAAGAGGCTAACGTCATTACAGTGAAGCTAACGCAGGCTGTTTGGCTTTTACAGTTCATTTACATGACTGCGACGCTTTGGCTCCACCTACAGGCTGCTGCTGGATTTACCGTCCTCATCCACCACCTCTTCCTCCTCCTCTTCCTCCACCGGCTGAGACACTTTGTTATCCAAATTCAAGGCCTCCATACTGCATCACCAATGAATAATATATATAATTATATAATAAAGACACGGTTCAATTAAAGGTTAAACATATTATTTGAGTCTTCTGGTGCAACAACAAGCACAACTAGAGTTCTATTTAATTCATTTTATTTCAATTAAAACATTATTTCCACAGCAGAAGTGAGAGAACTGACCAAACAAAGTACCAAAAATACACTGATTTTAAAGGAAAAATGCTGCAAACAAAACCACAATCTAAATAGTTTATGCACTACTGTAGCCTTCATTACCTTGCAATATACATTCATTGTGACACTATTTGTGCAAGTGCATAGGTGCAAAATAACAAGTCAAGTATTACAAATCTGAAATCCTTAGTAAAGTGTTATAAATAAGTACGAATAATGGATACAACATGCACAAAGATGTATGAATTGTATAAAATTGTGTTAAAACAGTATCTCCAAACAGTTCAGGGATTATATATGAATTGTGTTCGTAAATAATGGAAATTGCATATTTATTAAATATATATATGGGTGAAATCCCCCTTAGAAGTGTGTTGTAATGTGTTATTTAATATTCTATTTTCTTGGACTTGAATGTGTGAAAGCACAGAATGAATAACATATGATTCAAGGTCAGGCAGACTAGGATTTATGTTTATCATAAATCATTATGTATCTGTATGAAGATCAAAGTCAGGTCTGCTATGAATTCTTAGGAACTGTGGCTGAATTTTAATTCTGTCTGCTTAACTTTTGTTTAAGTGATGAAGATTTTGTTTCTTTTCCGTACTCATTGTTAAACCGACAAGATTAGCTGTTCTGTTTGTTGTGTTTATGTGATATTGTTGTAAGTGTGTATGAATGCATGTGTATGGACCCTGGGAAGAATAGCCGGTCCTTATGCTGGTGCTAATGGGGATCCAAATAAATAAAGAAAGTATGAAAAGTATGTCATATACATAATGAACATACAATATGATCCAATTCAAAACAGCAATATATAATAAGTAGTCTAATAATGTAACAATATGTAATACATATATAATAATGAAATACAGTGATAATACACAATATTCAATATAGATAATATAGACTAGTAATAATCTTGTAGTGATTATAGTGAGTTTTTTTTTTTATCATTAAAAAAAGTTCCTTCCCCAGTGTTACATCACTGCTGCAAAGTGCATCAATTTATCACCAATTAAAGTATTTAAAGATCATTAATTAGTTAGTAAATTGCCATTACTAACTATCTGGCAGGTAATTTGTCATTTAATGTTACAAAAATGCATTACCTATGGGTAATTATTACAAAATAAACTAATGCCATGATTTCATGGCATTAACTGCACATAATAACATTACTTTGCCAATAATCACCTTGTAAATTCTAATGACAATACTATTGCAAATAACCTCAAACTGCATGTTGATAGAAATTGATCGATAGACTTTATTGGTGTGTCCAAAGTATAAATTATTGATTAAATAGTAAACCATATGCCCACAAGCCCAGTTTCTCAATGTATTTTTCTGACGGTTGCCTTCACTGACCTTTTTGACAAGACTAATACAGTACACTGTATCTGGGTGCTGTCTCCACATAAAAATGTAATTTAATAGTTTATTGATATAGTAAAAAAGTTAGAGTATATAAGTGTATCAGCTGCAGTGATCATTAAGTATGTAACCATAAGTAAAAGTGACGTAAGGAGGCTAGCAGTAACATTTTGGCTCGTTTGTTCCGTTGTTTCAAATAAATGCTCAGCTACCGCAAACGCAACATCATCTAACGTAAACGACCAATGAAAGAACTTGATTGGCTCTCAGTTTCACAGTGAAAATGAATTGGCCAATCAGTGAAGCCGTTCTTGGTCGTTGTCAGCAACCAACGTACACAATTTACCAACCAGGAAGTGGAGAGTGAGAGGCAGTGGGGTCAGCCCAGAGCTGGACAGGAGCTCTTTTATTAAAACGTTAACATTTACGAACCGTTTGTTTCTGATTTCATAAGATTGTCGGTAAACGCGCTTCCGTCTCGTTCACGGTGTAACGTATATTTTCTGTCGGCATGAATCTCGGGTGAGTCTGTGCTTTTTCCAAATGACCAGTAGCTAGCTAGGCTAACATACTGACCGACATGTGTCGCAGTGAAATGCTCGGGGATTATTTTATAGCTTGCAAACAGTAACATAACTAATCAAATGCGCTCAGTGCAAATAATATATAATATATGTCCGCTGTGGTTCAGCCTTTAACCGACAGAGCTTCTGCTGTTCGCTGTAATCAATCTACAAGAAATGAGGACAAAATCAGTCAAATAATAATGAGCTTATGTTCCTGCAAACAAGAACGATTAGCTATAGTCAGTTCATGTGAAACAGGCCAAGCAAGAAAGCATAGTAACGTTAATGACTGAAAATCTGTAACGTTATTAAACATTGTCTGTGTTTAGAGTCAAATTTATGTCATTATACTTTGTTATCATTGCACAGAGAACAGGTAATGAGACAACAAAATGCAGTTTAGCATCTAAAATGAATTGCAAGAAAGTACAGTGCAGTGTGATATACAGAATAAACAGTGATGTATAGAATACATATAGAATATTCAGTACATATGTATACACTGGATGTGTATAAGCAGTGTGAACACATATAGATGGATAGATATATTTAGTATGAACATAGAAGTTGTAGTAGGCAGTGCAGGTATAAGTATAAAATATATAGTGCAGCTGTAATGCAAGTCATTATATACAAAAATATTGAGTTATGATATGAATAATGGTCTTTAGGTAATAGAAATATACAGTACAGACAGTGGTATGAAATGTATGGGTATATGAGTGTGTATAAAGTGCAGGTAAGGGTGTGTGTGTGTGCAATAGGCAGGCAGTGTTGAGTGAGAGCTAGCAGCTGGTGTGTTCACCCATTGTGTGAGTTCTGCTGTGTTGCACCATGCTGCACTCAGTAATGTTATTACTTGGCAACGTGATACATTGTTTACTATTTCAGTATCTCAGTGTCACAAAGACAAGGTCTACAAACTCTTTATTTTAAAGTAACTAGTGTAAGGTTTGGTGATTAAGACTGAAGGCAGGCAAGTATGTGTCTTTGCGCCCAAATGACTGAGACATGAGTCTGGAATGAGGCAGGTGCTTCAAAGGAAATCACAATTAAAAAAAAAAGACAGAACTTACTCGCTTACTGCTGGAATATTCATTAATTTACCACAATTTTGTCATATATCTGATGAAGTTAAAACAGATCAGTTACAGGACGCTCTCACTGCTGGATCCAGCACTAACACAGGAAATTATTTTTGCAGCAAGACAGCGTTAAAACACAAACACAAAAAAACACAAGACAGTTGAAAGCATTAACAGAGCGTGTACTTTACACACAATCAAACCTTCGGTCTGCTCACCACTCTTACGTCCTTGTGTTTCTGCTGTTTGCTCTGATATTTCCCCTTTTTGTAAACAGGGACGGCCTGCTGTTTGAGCTTGAAAATGGAAAACCGAAGTTGATTTTACTCAGTCATGGTGAGACCCCTCTGCTTTTAAGTTTTTACTCATTTGCTTTTCTTATTAGGTCCTTACCTTCAGTAGAAAATATGTATTAAAGGTATCTTTGCAGAAATTATAAGATGATAAGTTAGTTAAATTACATAAAATTAATTTTGAAAAAATGGTTTTGACTTTAGTCAACTGTTTTGAAATTAAACTGTAATTCAGTGACACAATGATATTTTCAAATTAAATGTTTAATGGTGCTAATTGTTTCACATTACTTATATCTAATTTGTATACCGCTTTTGTAAAAAAAAAAAAAAAAGGCTTTTTGCACATTTCAGTTTTTGCATTGCCTTATTTCAGACCTACAGTAGTATAGTGAATATGAACAAACAAGTGTGACGTAATATTCATGGCTGCTCACTGTCGTGTCTTTCTGTCACTGCAGGTGTTGAGAAGAATCCAGCAAAGGTAGGAATCGTCTTTACACCCTTAAGCACCTGGGTGTCTACATATCACAGTACACAGCGCAGGTTTATGTTTATAATGGACAATAAAGCAGACAGGAAAAAAAATATAAAATTCTCCTGGTGTTTTGTGGTTTTATCTTGTCTGATTTAATTTAACTCGATCCCAGCAGCTGTCCTGCAGGCCCAGAGCGGCTAACATCCTGAGCTCCAGGCAGCCGTCCTGTGTGGAGGGGGTGCAGGGAGAGGAGCGTCCAGCCCGGCAGCTGGCAGGGAGGCACAGAGAAACCAAGAGCAAGGCAGGAGGAGCAGCCGTTTCCTCCACCTCTAACGCCACCACCACCGCTGGGGGGAGGAGCTCCACTCTGACATCATCTAAGACACATGAGAATCACAAAGGGGGCAGCGTCAAAGTTGTAGCAAAGGTAAGTTTCATGCTCCATCTCATTTCTTTGCTTTACTCTGGACCCTTCATCTTCTGATATACATTTATCTCCTCTGCCTGTGCGTGTTTGTGTGCAGGTGAAGTCAGACAGACACAAACACAGCACTACTGTTGGCTCCTTGAGAGCCAATGGGAAAACAGGACAGCTTCAGAACAGAGAGGCACGAGCCAGTGGAAAAGTGGGACTAAAAGACACAGTGGCCAGTGGGGACACGGGACTGAAGGACGGCATGGTGTGTCTGACCAGTGAGCAGCTACAGAAGCTCCTGAGCACAGTCCACACCTCCAGCAATGGCCCACACCCACCAGAGGACCCCAGGACCCGGGGTGCTGGTAGTGATGGTAGTGTTAACAGTGGTAGTGACTAAAGCACAGACATTAGACTTTCCCTCCTTGTCAATATAATTTACAAGTTTGTGTCTTTTTCTCTGTTAGGAAATCAAGCCGACTCAAAATCTGGCTCCTCAATGAATAAAGGAGGAGGAGGAGGCGAGGGCGAAGGAGGAGGTGGAGAGATGAAAGAGGAAGACAGAGGGGGAGGAGGAGCTGAAACAACTGAAAGATCACAGGATAAAGATAAAAGGTGGGGAGCGTGCATCAACAGGCTTTTGTAAAGGACATTTGCACAAATTTCCTTTGAATTAAAAGACATAAATCAATATTTATTTAGCTGATGATAATAATAAATGTACAGGACATTTGGACACTTTAATTTCCTATCGGTGAGGCCATTCTTCTTTTCTAAGATCACCATAAATACAAATTGTGGTCAGGGTCAGAGGACACACACAATACTGAGGATTGGACCAGATCTATATTTAACTTCTTCATGTCTTCACTGTGTTTCTTTCACTCTGTTGTCATATGCACACACATGCACACACAGGACCTATAGATGCAATAAATGGAAAGCTGTCAGAGCGAGGGGGCTGCTGAAATGGCGCCTCTCCAGCTACCAGTCCACACTCCATATCCATAGTCCCTGTGAACTGAGCTACTGCTGCCCTCAAAAAAGATGTTTGGTGTTCAGAATGATTTACAAATGCATTTGAGATAATCCTTTTTACTGCTGCATTCTGGTTCTGTCCTCTGAAGCAGTGGTTTTAAAACTTTTTTCAATAGTAACCCCCTTTGAAATATTTTTTTCAGCCAAGTACCCCCTAACCAACGTTAAACATTTTATGATAGATAGAAAGAAAAAAGTGGAATAAAGTGAGGTAAATCCCATTACATCATATTCTACCTGATAGCCCACTGACAGTATTTTGTAGGGTCTGTTTTTGCGATCTTTTTCACTCCTCTCTGTGCGACTTAACGGTTCGACTAAGAATCCATTTGCTTTATTTTATGTTATTCTTTAATATTGAAACTGGCTTCCCAGTGACAGTAAACGAACATAAACATGAACGTTTGTCGCAGCAGTTGACAGTTTTTACAGCAGTTAATGTAAATTTCTTCTTCTTGATTGTTGATCTTGAAGAAGGCCCAAAGGCTGAAACATTATCAAAATAAAAGAAGTGCATAGGGAGCCAGAGTGTGCGACACTTGTTTCAATAATCAAGTCAACTGCCAGTGATCAGCACCTTTTCATAATTCTGGGTGCGTGTTACTTTTTAATAATTTAAATTTTGACATTTTTTACATTAACATTAAAAAAAATCCCTCATAGCCCCCTGCGGTTTTGTAAAATACCCCATGGGTTCACGTACCCCCAGTTGAAAAACTCTGCTCAAGAGACATGATGTGGGGACAAACTAAGATTTATAATTTTTTTCTTCATCAAGCAAAAAAAAAACAAGAAATATTCTGACAGTTTGCTGGTGAGGAGGTCTGTTGTGCTCCCATAGTGTGGAGATGTGTTTTTAGAAATCTGTGTACCTTAAAATGTCAGTTAAAAGCAGGATGTGGCTGCTGTCGTTTAGGTTGTCTGGATGTCCGTTCAGCTGGCTGGAGGAGCGACAGTCAGACAGCAGAGCAGCCATCGACGCCAAGAAGGCTCAGTGGAGGAGAGAACTAGGTATACACACACACACACACACACACACACACACCTGTAATGCATATTCATACTCATTATAGTGACAAAGCCACATCACCAGCTTCACAAACTGTTTTAGCCTCTTTTAGCTCTAAGTTTTGGTTTTTACGACACATTTGTTTGTTTGTTTCAGTCTCAGTGTTTCCAGCAGCACCAAACAACAAACAGACAAAGTTAGAGACAAGCTGGTGAAGAAAGTGGAACCTCTAGTTGCTAATGAGCCAGATATTCTTTTAAGGCCCAGAAAACACCAAACTGACCTCAGGGAACTAGCAGCGATGAAAGCCCTCTACTGCGTCACTGTGTCTTGGGCCAAAAAAGTTGCACATGAACACACCGCAAAGACTACAGCTGACAGCCGAGCAGCATGTATGTTCTGCAACTGTGTGAGAGGAAATAACTCTCCACACAGCAGGCGGCAATCATCTGTATTGATCATTCAAAAAGGGAAACCAGAAGATGTCTTGATGATAGCCAGTTAGCACATTAACAACACAATCCAATGTTGAAAGAACAGAGCATACTTACCTGGCACCATTGAACAATAACAAAAACCAAAAGGTCATAAAAATAATCCATGCCACAACCAAAACACAAGCCTTTTCTTTATGTACCCAAATTCCCCACTGTTTTTGGAGAGGAAGGAGTCAGAGCTAGTGAGGGTGATGGGATGTAGATGAGCTCACTGCTCTTATCTCTGACACATCTGAATTATTAATCAAATATTATACAGCTGGAGATAAAAATAATGTTTGGGTGCAGCATTTTATTACTGCACTTCTGAAGAACTAAATTATGTTTTACTTGCCTATGTGTGTGTGTGTGTGTGTTTGTGTTAGATGAGCAAGTGGCACTGAAGCAGCAGCAGCAGCAGCGTTCAGCTCCTGGCAGACTCCAGGTACGGCAGATATTTCCCCTTTTTAATCTCCAGAGTTTCACTTTGTTGGTTGTTTTTTGTCACCATGGGAACATCTGACAGCTTTGTTTACACACAAGAAGAGCAAACTGTTCCTCGCACTGAAATGGGGCACTGATAAGTTTGTCTCTTTCTAACTGTTAAAGCAAATTAGCACAAAATGTCAGAAAAATTAGAGGAAAATTTAATTTATATTTGGTGTGTTCACACAGATTTGGTTGAATTGTTCTCACTAAATGCACTGCAAATGCTTTTTTCTTAGTCTCTTTTTTCCCCACTAACAGCTGCACAGCTGTGAGGAAAACATTTCTGGAGGTTGTGTTGCATATTTTACACCAATAACAAAACATATTTACAGATATATTCAATTAAATTTATCAGGTAGTCATTTGAACTAAAGGATAATATCTATAATATATAATACTAATATCATCTGAAGAAGACCAAATCCAAGATTGAGATGGACTGGAAATATATTTCCTTTCATAGAATATTTCATAATCTTTGTGTGTGTGTTTCAGGCTGAGGAAGACACAGAGAGTTTGTTCTCAGTGCAGAGCTCCGTCAGCCACAGAGATCAGCCTGCAGCCATCAGATCCAGGCTCAGACTCGGGGTAAATAGTGAAAGTCTTTGTCACACTGAGAAGCACCTGAATGCTGATGAAGGATCAAACACAAAGGAGGAAATCCTTTGTATTTGATCCTTCATCCCGGTGAACACAAACTTGATCAAGCCACAATGGCACCAAATAACAGCATAATAACACATGGATACAGGATTGTTTTCTTTCAAGATTTCACATTTCTCCAGCATAAATTGAAACTAGATAACCTTTCTTTAAACCCAAAAACTAGACTGTAGTAATGGTTTCTTATTTACATGACATTTGAGAAATCAGAATTCTGCAGAGAGCTGACAATAACCAGATTACGGAGGTGCATGTAAACTATTAAAAGCACATCAATGAGCCACACTGTTACACTGGATGACATGTTCCTGACCGGTGTTGTCTCTGAAGGAGGTCACCCCGACGGAGGAGATGCTGAGTGTTGAGAGGAAAGAGGAGCAGAGGAGACGCTGGCTGGAGGAGCTGGACCGACAGAGAGAGGAGACGACTGAGCGCAGGAGAAGAGAGAAACTGCTGCAGAGCCAGGTACAGTCGCAACATGTTGATGTTTTACTGTGTTTCACATGAACTAGTGATTATCTGCTGTGTCATGTTTATTACTTTACTTTTGAACGTGTGCCTGCAGACGGAGGACCACGAGCTCTGGGCCACACACTTTGACTCTCTGCAGAGACGGCCTCCAGTACTGACTGCAGCTCCATCAGCTCCACCTCCAGCCCTGTCCAACAGCTCCGAGCGAGGAGAGTGGGAGCCAATGTCCAGTTTGTCCCTGGTCTGGGAGGCTACCAGCAGCTGTGGAGCAGAAAGTGTCGGGGGAGCCAGCATAGATACAACCAGCGGGTACCCAACTAGAGCCAAGTAAGAGGGTCGATGAGTGTATGAGCAGCCCTGCACAGAAAAATATTGTGACAGTTTATAGATAAGTGCCTGCAAAATCAAACATAATTTTCTGTTGACATTCTGATGACATTAAAGTTGAATTCACCAGTTGGACCACAGCAGGTCACAGTTTCACCACTTCACTTGAGATCTGACTCTGAGAAAAAACTTGAGAATTATTTTTGTGGCTTGCAAAACGGTTAGTGAATAAGAAGTCCAGATATATTTGAGTAAATGTTCAACATCCATTGTTCTCCTGTGTTTCGTCCAGCTATCTGAGGACCATGACCGCCCTGCTGGACCCCGCCCAGATAGAAGAGAGGGAGAGGAGGAGGCTCAAACAGCTGGAGCAGCAGGTAGGAGGAGGAAGAGGAGGAGTAGAGGGGGGAACAACACAGCGAGGTTTTATTGCTTACCATCCTAAATATTTTACTGTCTCCTCATGTCTCCTTCCCTAGCGAGCGATCGAGGCCCAGATGGAGGAACGGCGGCAGCAGAGGGAGCGAGAAGAGGCGAGAAGGAGAGAGGAGGAGGAGGAGGAAGAGAGGAGGGTGGCGCTGGAGAGGGAGATGCTTGAGAGACAGTACGAGCTGGACACACTGAGGGAGAGGCAGAAGGTCAGGACACAAACACAAACACAAAAACAAACACAAAAAGTGCACAACTCTTCACCAGAAATGTTCACCATTGTCTGATGAGGGGAAAAGTTAATTCACTGTATTTTGCTGTAGTCACAGTTGTGTCAGTGTTTGACTTCTGTGTGTATTTGCACTGTGCAGTTGAGCCGTCAAGCAGAGGATTCAAAGAAAGACCGCGATGACGGGAAACATCAGGAGATACTGGAGCCCAGCGGTGGGTGGAGCATTTGCAATAGTGCTGCAATACAAACCCAAACAATTGCACTATGAAACACTGACCCCAAAAACATCCTTCAGGTGTTTTTTACAAACCTTGCACATCATACATCAGCAGTGACCTTTTTCATAAAAAGTGACAATTGGCATTTAAAGTAACCATGTGCAGTGCTGTGCAGTATGTCTAAGCTGCATGGAATGGGGAGTACAGTTTAGCATCACAACAGCCTGTGGGAGGAAGCTGTTAGGCACTCTACTGGTCCTAGATATGACGCTGCGGTAGCGTCTGCCTGATGGCAGCACTTCAAAGTGACTGTGGAGAGGGTGTGAAGGATCCCTGATGATGCTCAGAGCCCTGTTCCTGCATCGCCTCTGAAAAAGTTCCTGGACGGAGCTTAGTGGCACTCCAACGATCCTCTCCGCTGTCCTCACCATCCTCTGCAGAGCCTTTTTATCTGACACACTGCAGCTGGCATACCAGGTGGAAATGCAATGTGTCACAATGCTCTCAACCACACTTCTGTAGAATGTTATGAGGATGCTGGTGGGAAGGGATGCTTGTTTTAATTACCTGAGGAAATGCGGTCTCTGCTGGGCACACTGGGACCAGGAGAGTTGTTATATAAGACGACTGTTGTGGCTGCTTGAGGTGCCGCTAGTGTTTTACTACTTTATAGACAATTAACCCACCAGTTGGATGGAAAGGAACATCCAACTGGTAGGAGGCCTCAGGGCAGACCCAGAACATGCTGGAGGGATGATATATGTCTCATCTGGCCTATAAATGCCACAGGATGAGCCTCAGGACGAGCTAGAAAATGTGTTGCTGGGGAGAGGGATGTCTGGAGCACCTTGCTCAGCCTGCTGCCCCTCAGCCCAGCTCTGGATAAGCGGATAAAAACAGATAGATATACAGTTAGCTAGTTAAGTCTAGTGGTTTCCAGTTTAGAAGTAGGGCCCTTCCAAAGGGTCGTGAGATGATTAATAGGACAGAAAAGAAGAAAAACAAAAGTTCTGTGACACAAAATTGCAGAAATATTTTGGATTTTTATATAATCTTTGCAGTTTTTTCTAAAATGTTGGAGAGTTTGACCTTATTTAGTCTCAAAGTTATTAAAGTAAAGTCATTTCGGAAGTTTAAAGGGAAAATGTCTCTTTGATGGAACCACCGATGACCAGGTTGTTTGTAATGACAACTCCTCCAACTGTTGGTGTGTTTCTTCAGCAGTTACCAAACGGAGTGAGTGTTCAGTGGAGGAGGAGGTCAGCAGCTCAGCCTCCTCATACAGAGACACGGCTGTACAGACAGGTGAGTCAGCTATCACTACCACAGACACAACTACTACTACTACTGCTGGTTTAATATCTAATGACTTGATGTGATGTGCTCTTTAAGTGTTGAAGATCCTTACACATTTTTCCTTCCCTCCATAGAAGCAGCTCCATCTCTCCCACTCAGAGTTCAGACTCCTGACGTCTCTGCACAGTACCAGCCGCCTCCTTCTCTGTCTGCTGGACCTCCAAACGGCAGGAACCGAGCGGTGAGAACAGGCAAGGAGAACATCTGTCTGCCAGGAGTAGGAAGTGGTGGAGGAGGAGACCCGTATGAAGCGTTTGCCAGGACAGATCGGAGCAGGAGAGACAAGAGGAGGCCGGAGTGGAACACACAGAGGTAGAAACACACCTGTCTCACATTTAGATGATCAGTAAGCAAATCTAGTTCCTTATTCAACCCTCTAAAGTTAAAAATGCCCAATTTAAAAATCCAAAATCTCTCCCATGATCCCTCCCTGTACTTGCAACTTCTTTCCTCCAGGCCCAACCGTCGGTTCGTCCCAGCCTCGGAGCGTTACCCGGCTGCTCTGCAAAAGAACAGACAGGAGAGTCGACAAAAGAGGCAGGCTGAGCTCCTTGCTCTGCAGGAGAAGACTCATCTCTCTAGGGCTGACCCTCCTCCTCCTCTTCAGCAACAGGAATCTCGTCTGTGCTCCAACCCCACACAGACCAGGCCCAGTCCCACCAAAAGGGTAGGGGCCTCTGTCTTAATTTTATTCATTCTAAAACTTAACCGTGCTCTTGAGGTCACAAACCTTACTAACTTCTGCACTGCATACCAACTTTCTGACAAACATTGAGTAGTTTTTCTGTCTGATCGGCATTGTTCCAGGTGGAGAGTGTTTCCAGAGGACACAGTGTCTCTGCAGCCATCAGCACTGACAGGTGAGCAGCTCTGACTGCAGCTGTCTACCTGTTAAACTCCCGATTCACACCTGACAAACGTTTTAGTAATAATTTATTTTATAGGTTCAAATAAAAACCTGTCCAGTCAGCAGCTGTTTTGATGGTGAGGTGGTTTTGTGTTTTGAGCCCACTGCGCTGTTTTGATGTCTCCTGTTGTCATCTCCTCCAGGGGGCGCTCTCCTCCCGTCCCTGCTGTCAGACACAGACTTCAGGGTCAGCAGGCACCACCCTCTTCCACCCCTTCACCTCCACCTGCGGAGTTTGTTCCTTATGTTCGTACTGATGAAGTCTTCAACCTGGACCCACTGGAGCCTGCCGACACCCCACCCCCACCACGCACACACACAGGTTAGACACACACACATAAACACAGAATAATTAAACTCTGTGACAGGAACTGTACATTTTATTGATAACACTTGAGTAAAAAAAACTGGATGCAGGATTTGACTATTTTGATAATTAACTTAAGGACTGAGACTTACAATAAAGTGACAGTGCAGTAACAATAGTTAAATAACAATTAAGAAAAACAGAGTAACATCTGTCTCTCATTGGTGACTTCTGCTTATTATACAGAGAGTAAACTATACTTTCTCCTCCTTCAAAGCTCCTCCAGCGTCTCCTCCTGCTCCCTCACATCGACTCCTCCAACCTGAACTGCTTCATAACACACAAACACACCGACAGCAGGAGATCCTGAGAGGCCTGGCACAGCTACGGCAGGTAACACACACACACACACACACACACACACACAGTCACATCGATGGAATATTAAAAAAAAAAACAAACAATGGTCAAATGGAAGCAGTAGAGGCCGAGATATCTTCATATATAATCCTGAGTATGCGCCAATCTCTAAACTCTGGATCCTACATTTCCCATAATGCAACTTGATGAATTATTTTCATTAGACGCTCCTTGAACGGTGAACACCAACATCCTTCAAACTCCACGCCTCCATTTTTTTCATAACGCAGGTGTTCTGTTGTAAATTTTTTGTGTCCAAACCAAAGATGAGATAACCCTAATGACATCACTGTGACATCATCAGGGTGGTTTGCAAAGTCTGGAAAAAATTGACTCAGGGATTGACTTGATTCTGAAGCCGGCCTCAAGTGGCCATTAGACGAACTGCAGTTTTTGGCACTTGTTCATTGGCTTCACTCTTCAGCCCCTGAAGTTGCCTCTTGGTACAAACCAGTGTTTGTGTTTTCAGGGTTTATTACAGAAGCAGAGGGAGTTGGAGACGGATCTGAATCCTCTACTCAAGCGCCATGACAACGAGCTCCGGGCACCCTCTGCAACGCACCGCATGTGACCTTTGACCCCTGCTCTCTCTGTATGCTGACTGGAGACTGGATGTTCAATGTGCCACGACGTGGAGGATCATCATGGTTCACATTTCACTTGAATATCAGACTGCAGCAGATTTGGAGTTTTTAAAGAATAGCGGATCATATCAGAGTGAACTTCACCTGTCCTGGATGTAACTAGCATCAGGGAGCAGAAGTACTTGTTTTATTTTCCTGTCAGCAGCTCAGTAAGTCCAACGACACAAGACTACTTCCTAAATCTTACAAAGTACTTTGCAATAGATAGTCAGTGTCTAGTCATAGTTAGAGGATGTGGTGGGAAAGCTCAATTTTTAAACTCACATAAGAGACACTATTACATTTACTAAAGATATGATTAATTAAACTTACAATAACAGCAGTATACTACAGCATTACTGGTTATTTAAATGGAGTCCTGTAGGTTAGACGACGTGATTTTGGGGCTGTTTCTGGTTAAACAAAAATGATCTTTCGCTTTAACAAAAAGGTCTATCTTTGAAGGAGTCCTTTCAGTAATCTTTTCAGACACTCATAACAACACTAACTTATGATAACTATCAGTGGCAATAAAAACTACGATTTGGGAGATTTAAATTGACGGTGAAACTCTGCCTCAAGTGTTAACATTGCAAATGTTCCCATTAGTGAGTTAGAAACAAAAACATGGGAACATAAGGTCCAAGTTGAAAAATACCCTTTAAAGTAATAGTTCAGTTTCTTTGAAGTGGAGCTGTATAAGATACTTATCCATAAAAGGTATTTTACCTTTTATTTTAGATGTCAGTCAGAACGCCCCCAGTTTGGAGAAGCAGGCTGGGGTCCGACACAGAACCTCAGCAGTGGACTGCTGTCAGAGGGGGTCAGCAATAATGTATATTTTAGCCACTTAAAAAAGTCCCACCAAAACACAGTCAGTATCAGTTTAAGTGTACGCTATATTGAGAGTATTTTAACTGATTCACCTTTCAGTCAGACAGCTCTTTTCCGGGAGAGTTAACAATTTCAGTTCCCCATCTATACCCTCATCAAAGGCACCAGACTCCTGACAAAACAGTAATTTTAGCACGCTTAACACAGTGGCGTTTAAAAGGGTTAGTTTGAGTCACCAAAGTCACACAGTAACACTAACTGACTGATCAAAGCAGCAGTTGATCAGCAGCTCCTGTGTTCACAGAGGTAAAATCACTGCTTTTCTCAATGAAGAGAATGATATAACAGCTTCATTTTCCTGTCTGGCACTCCAAAATGGGGAAGCAGACAGGAGTCCGACATCTACTGGGGGACATCTACTGTAGGTAATATACTAGCTATGGATAAGTATCTCACACAACTCCACTTCAAAAAACTAAACTATCCCATTAACTCTGGATTAAGTTTATTTGACATTCAGAGAGCCACACAGCAACTCGTGGTAGCTCTGTTTTCCCCCTCAGTGTAAAAGGATGTGACGCTTTGTGGGTGAATACCTACTGTATCTGTTCTGGCATTTTCACTATTGAAAACACATGGCTCTGTGTGCATCTTCAGACTGAGCATAAAGAGGGTTATTTGTGCAAATCTTTATTTACCACAAACAACCAATGTTCCATCAATACAGACATTAGCTGTAGAAGAGTTGCAGCAATACAGTGGGACAATGTTAACTCTGTAATGTTATGGACAAATTCATTTGAACCAATCTTATGTTGGTTTCAATGTATTTGAACTTGATTATTATTAATTTTTTAAAGAGACAGGCTTACAGGAGGTGATCCATTCGAGCCGGTGTGCATGAACAGTGGACATGGGTTTTTTAATGTACTCCAGCCTTTAATGTGACAGGCAGCTAAACAGTAAAGACTGTGTCGTACTAACAGTAACTAACACTTGTCTTCAGTCTGAACCTGATTTTAAAATCAAGAACATTTCTGACTTTATTTTTGAACACTTAAAAAACTGAAATGTGAGTTGCAGGTTCGACTGACGGAGCTTTTAACTTTTTAGCTTTTAGCTTTTAACACCTCAGTGTTTATTTAAATCTGCTCCTTCAGTTCTACCTCACATCAAGACATGTTCTCACTAAATGAGTTTATGTGGGTGATTTAACATTTTATGTAAAGATTGTATTTTAAAATTCAGTTTTTAAATGCACTTTTCATAATGACACTGTACCTAACAGGTATTGAGTTTTACCTTTTTTTATTTCTTCTTCTTCTGGGCACCTCGTCCTTTTCTTTGGAGTAATCGTTCCTGCAGAGGAGCACAGCACTTATTTAAATCATGAATGAAAGATGTATTTTGTTTCTTCAGCTTCCTGCTGGCAGAGGAGTTTTGTTTTTGATTCTGTGTTGTGTAATTTTTCTGGTTATATTGTATTGTGTTTTTTATTTATTGCAAATAAAGAATGTAAAGTGTTCTGAGACCCTTTCCATTTGTTACAACTGCACTTCATTTTGATTTAATTTGTATTTTGGTAACACCTGATCTGTGAATCCCCGCCCCCCCCCCCCCCCCCCCCCCCCCCCCCCCCAACTTACCTACAGTGTGTTCAATTTAAAAACTCAACATGTGTCATATGGAAAATTAGTCAGCTATTTTCATAATTGATTGCGTCATTAACATTTTAAGCAAAAATACCAAATGTTCTCTGACATCAGCTCCTCAAACATGAAGATTTCCTGCTTTTCTGTCACATATGACAGTAAATTAAAAATCATCAGGGAACACTTAATCGCAAATAAAAGTCACAACAGGTGCAATGAAGAGACAAAAGCAAGACAACCCTAAAAAAGGGAATGGTTTTACATGTGTCCACAGACAGTTGCTCTCTCCTTATCCTTCCTGACCAATTCTTCTCTAGTTTGGTTTTCTGCTAGTGTCCTTGTCACTACTGGTAGCATGAGGCAGTACCTGCAGGTTGCACAGGTGGTCCAGCTCCTCCAGGATGATGCATCCATATGTGCGGTAGTAAGAAGGTTTGCTGTGTCTCCCAGCACAATCTCAAGAGCATGGAGGAGATACCAGGAAACCGCCCATTACACAAAGAGAGCTGGACAGGGCCGTAGAAGGGCATCAACCCAGCAGTTCACATCAACAACAACAAATTAACATTCATCATATAACAAAGAGGAACAGAACAGAAGGAGGTCTTTTTAAAATATAAAATATTATTAATAAAGGTGTTTGCTTCAGTAGAATTGTCCAATTTGTTTTCATTTTTTAAGCAGAAATGCCAAAAATCCACTGGTTCTGATCTTACATGAAAATATCTGTTGGTATTTTTAGTCCTCTGTGATTATAAATGTTTGGTTTTAGACTGTTGGTTAAAATTGAACACATCAGTGTGTTTATTTAGAACAATTTCCACTACCATCTGACATTTGAAAATCACGGAAAATCATCACAAGTTTAATCAATAATAAAAATAATCATTAGTCATGGCCATGGTTCTCCATTGGAAAATAGTGGACTGCCCCAAGTGACGAAGTTCAAGTATTTCGGGGTAAAATGGAGGGTGAGATGGATCAGCGGTTTCGTGCAGCGTCTGCAGTGATGCTGACACTGCCCCAGACTGTTGTGGTAAATAAGGAGCTGAGCCAGAAGGCGAAGCTCTCAATTTACTGGTCCATCTTCGTCCCAACCCTCACTTACGATCATGAGCTCTGGGTAGTGACTAAAATAATGAGATTGCGGACATAAGCAGCTGAAATGCGTTTCCTCCGTGTCTGGGCTCAGCCTCAGAGATAGGGTGAGGAGCTCTGACATCCGGAGGGAGTTCGGAGTAGAGTCACTGCTCCTTTGTGTTGAAAGGGGTCAGTTGAGGTGGGTCAGGCATCTGATCAGGATCCTCCTGGGCACCTCCCGTTAGAGGTGCTTCAGACATGTCCCACTGGCAGGAGGCCCCAGGGCAGACCTAGAACATGCTGGAGGGATTACATATTTCACCTGATCCCAGGAGATGCTGGGGAGAGGGGTGTCTAGGGTGCTTTGTTTGGCCTGGCAACCCGGCCTCAGATAAGCGGATAAAAATGGATGGATGGGTAAAGAGCTAATATTCCTGGGCTCCTGGCAACACTGAAATATGTTATTAACACAAACAGGTCTATTCTGCTAAAGTCTACGTACACAGTGTGCATTCAACAGCTTTATACTTTCTAAAGACTGAAAATAATAGATCAAGTAAGTCTAAAAATAAAAAAACAATGTTACTCACACAGGACTCAAACACCAGTGTCCTGTGTGAAAGTCCTGTGCTTGAGAATATCCTAGATTGGCTACTTCTGGCTCTAACTATGACCTCTTTGCCCAAATCCTAACCGCTTCTGACTTTGACATATCTGAGTGAGGAGTACTAGCCAGTCACACTGGGATCCATAATAATGCCTCGTAGAGACGGATGTGAATAGCTGAATAGCTGCAGTGTGATTATTCTCCCCTGGGTGCAAATAGACACTCTGTAAATTTAGACCCCAGCACAATTTGAGTTTCTAAGCTGACCCAAAAACACTTTTAAGCTCCACTCATGCATAACAATTTCACATTACCATTATACAGAAGAACATGGAGACAAACTCTGGTTTACACAGGAGACTTTTAATACAAAAAACTTCTGATGTAAAAAACAAAACAAAACAAAAAAAAAACATAAAAAATGACTTTTAAGTTAAAATGAGTTTGTTACAGAGTCACTTCCTACTGTACAACAGCAACTAAACACAAACAGCTCTCAGGGTAACAAACCAAACATTCAGTACAAAAAACTGTGTTGTTTTTTTTTTTACAAGACAAAGAGTCCACTGGAAGACGTGTAAGGCAGTCTGTCCATCTCGGTTTTTTAAAGTTCTTTAAAAGTCTTAGTGTCCACTTCAACAATGGTTTCTCCCATGATGCAAAGAGAACAAATAAGCAGCTACTGTAGAAAAACATGGTATAGAAAAAATCCTTAATGGCTCCTTTTAAGAAACAAATGTGTGGAGTTGTTGGAGTATTAGACTGTTGACAGAAAACTGTCAAAACCGTCGAGCTGGTGGTGCGTTCAAGAAAGCCGGGAACTGGGATCCAATCAGAGGCTTTTTATATTTTAGTCCAGCTCTTACTCAGAGCTGCGCACAGGAACAAAACAGGTAAATATTGACTCAAAGCTGTTTAAACCTGAGACTATTTGTTAGGTTAGAGGATGATCTCTCTGAGTTGAAAAGCACCTCCAGAAATATATCTATGTACATGACAGGTCTGTTCTGAGAGAGATTAAATTAAACTTCTGAAAACATGGCAGAGAAACTTTTCCTTTTTTAAAATCTGCTGTACACATGTTCAAAGGGGTTTTTACATTAGTGTTTTTTTCCCTTTAGTGGTTTATTACTAGTGTTTTTCTGACTTCTTTAGTACTAACAGGTCATGATTACAGTAGATAGTAAACGTTTCCACTACTCTAATATTTTACAGCAGCGCATTTCTGCTGTGTAAGCAGGCCACACTCTGCACACTACACAAGAGTTATTGTTCACTGGGCTTTAATCAGTGATACTTATATTTTTGAGGGGCATCATCTACAGAGCTTCTTAAGAGTGTTTCAGCGTGTGGTTTCCGATGAATAATGTGGACAGGGAACATAAAATTTGTTTCAGGAAGAAAACAGAAATTCACAGATTGGTAAATAGTGACTTTTTAGTGACCGATCCCGCCCTCAGTGACTTTAAAGGGCCGAGAAGGTGATGTCAGGTGGATGCTGAGTAACAAAAATACATACTAGAACTAAGAATGGTCTCTTCCACTAAAGTCAATACAAACCAGGACTATCACCTTTTAGAGAATCTCAATCGAAATAATTCAAACACAACTCGTGTAGCCTGGTTGATGTTTTGCTCCGTTCAATCTGGATGTCTTTGCTCTCTATGGTGTCGCATGTAAAATGATTTCACTGGAGCTGCAATGATTACTCAATTTCTGTCAATCAACAGAAAATAAATTGGCAATTATTTTCATAATTACAGAAGCCGAGAACAGCCGTGCTCACAAGTGAATTATTTTGTTATCTCAAAATAACAATGCTAAATTTCTCGTTTTCTGATAACAGGTTAATTTATGGCTTCCACAACCCTGCAGGGGAGAACTGGTGGTTTGAATTTATGAAATAAAGCCTCAATACAAACCAGTGACAAGGACTTTTAAGGTGGAAAAGAATCTATGAAGGTGGGTTTAACCATATCCAGTATTTATAAAGCTTCCACAATGCAGCAAAAGACCGATCTTTGATTTTACGTCATTTATACTGACTTTAAAAGAACCTCTCCCTGTCCAAGTAAATCATGATTTTTGCAACGCTACACCTGCCTGACATCAATTCTTTTCCAACCCACTGTCACTAAGGGAGCATCTGTGGTTGAGACGAACGCCACTTAAGAGCAGTGTCGCTGATTGGTTTCCAGTCAGGGACCGTTTTTTGCAGAAGTCTCTGCCAGCATTTTCTGTCTGCGTCTCTACTGTCACTATCAAATAAATGATTAAGTGCCCCAGAAAGAGAGATGAGTTTGTATTTTCAACATTCTTCCTGTAAGCAGTGGCTAAAATTCTTGGAGACAGTAATTTGACAGTTCTGGATCAGGCTGAGACATTCCCCTGATTTTATGACGATAACCCTGTGAGCTGCATGCAGAGTGTGGTTTCCTTCTTTTATCAGTTTAGCACCTGTTAGTATTACGGATGTGCGTGTTTCAGCCTCCCATTCTCTGGGTCGTAGAGTGGAAGTGTTTGGTTTCCTAAAACCTGCTACATGAAGAGCAGGAACGTTACTTGGATTAATCAGCTGGTGAAGTTAAGCCGGCTCTCGACATCCCATTAAAGCCTCCTCACCTTTGCCCCCCTCTGTACCTGCTGCTGCCTTGACCTGCAGGGTTGTGGTACCCCCCCAGCAGGCTAGGACCAGTGACGTCCCTTCCGGCCTGTCGGAAGCCCCACACCAGGGCAGCAGCACCTGCGGGGCCCAGACCCCCAGGCCAGACAGGTGTGGACCCCAGGAGGCCACTTCCCAGGGTAGTCAGTGGCGCCAGCATGGAGCTGTGGGAGAAAGGCTGGCTGGGGAATCGAGGCATGTGTGGGGACTGCAGGAGGCCAACGCCCCGCTGCTGCTGCAGGCTGTGAGGTGGTGGTTGTAGGTGGGACAGACTTGGCCGGAGCTGCTGGTTGTTCAGTTGCTGCAGGTGCTGTTGGGGCTGCTGGATCTGTTGTAGACGGGGCAGAGCAGGATTTTGGTTGAATTAGCTGGTTCGGATGGACCCCAAAATCTAACCTAAGTGTCAGTCTGGGCACTGAGCCTAGACCACAGTCTAAGGAAGTCCTGTTTCTATTGGCTGGTGCTACTTAACAGTTAACAAGTACTGCCTTGTGAGAAACTAGAACTACCATACTATCTCCTGCTTAGCTAGGTTGTTGGGTTTGTTCAAGGATTTACGCAACACAGGACAAGCGAAGATGACTACCTAAACCCCAGTGTCTCTAACCACTGGATATAATAGTGATTATTATTATCAGCAATATCTGTATGTGTTAAAAAGGCATCTCTCCTCCAAGAGATTATCTGACAGTTAAAGCACAGACGGAGGTATACCCTTTGTTTTTGGTATCCTTTCTGCTACATCAGGGGAGTCACACTCATTTTAGTTCATGGGCCACATTCAGCCCAATTAGATCTCAAGTGGGCTGAACCAGTAAAACCATTGCATAATAACCTGTAAGTACTTAAAACGTTTATCCATTTACAAAACAGCTGGACACATCTGATGAAAAATAAGATGAAAAAATGTCTCAGTTTTTCCACATTCAGTCAGCCACTGTCATTACATGTGCATTTTTCAGTACATTTCCATTCCTGTGTGGTAGTGCTGGCATTACAATACCGACTTAAAGTGGAAGCTTTTGGGGAAGCAGGTTAAGTTATCCCCTGCCTTACAAACCAATTACAAATCTTAAGTTTTGGCAGCGCTTTAGCAACAGGGTACACAATGTTCAGTATGTTTGAACAGTATTTCAGGTTCTCACTTTGCCCAATTTCAGGTTCTCACTTGTATTTAACGTTTCTACAACTATACAATGTTCACGTTTTAATGTTCAAAAAACACTTAATTTTCCTCAAACTGTCTGTGCTGGAACTCCTGCAATCACTGAGACGTTCCGCTTTAGCACCTGTCTCTTTAAGACCCCTCTCCAAAGTCTGCTCTAATTGGTTAGCGTTCTTGGGTCTTGCGTATCTGCAGCGTTATTGCAGCTGAGGAATGACTGCAATGGAGAATAGAGGCTCTTTCTATCACCAATAAAAGCTTATAAACACAACCAGACACGTACAAGCAGGAATCTGTTCCCAAATCTCGGAGAAATTAAAATTAGCAACCAAGATGACATGTTTTCCTGACGCTAGCATGCAGCTACATGTAGCAATGTAGGCTCAGTAATGTAAACACTTGCAGATGACCGTATGCTCTACACCCCTGTGTGAGACCCTCTGTTGTTGGGCAATAATAGGCATTTCTAACATTTTACAGAACTGTAAAATACAAGTGGCCTTCCACAAGTGTCACTGAAGAAGCCTTAGATGAGAGGATGGGAGGGATTAAAATAAACGAGGTATTTCTCTTTCAGTAGACCAAGTGATCTACTTAGATTTATTGAGCAAAATAAAGCATGTACAAAATCCCATACAGAGTAAAAATAATATGATTGCCATTGCTTGATTTAAAGGTTCCTTGCTAAGTCTCTTAACGCACTTCTTACTTTTCCTCCGTGTTACTTCTCATTTTATACAGTAGAGCTGACGGGGTTAGGGGGAGTCAGAGCCAGCTGACAGGAAGGGTGTATTATATCACTCATTCTTGAGAAGTGGGACCAAACCTTACTGCTTTGGGGTTTTGATATTTACTCTTCAGTTAGGATGGGTACCAACCCCAGTGATTACATTTTTTTGAATGGCACACATAATGAATATCAGACGCAAGATGTGATGGAGTTCATGTTTCATGGAGCTGACAAAATGTCAGTCGTAGCAGTCGTAGTGAGGAGCCATTTTATTTTTCAAAGTTGCTGAGAGTTCTCTTAATGCTAATCAAAACACTCATTTTTAAAACATAATTCTTATTTAGTTTTAAATTAGAAAGGCTACAGAGTTGACCTGTTATGGTTGAGACACACCCTATAGCAATATTATTTAACTAATTTATCAAAAAATAGAAATCTCAACAGTACGTGAGCAGCATTCCTGCCTTTCCGGAAACCAGGAAACAAGACAGGAGTCCTTGTGATATAGCTAACCCCTTTTATACCTAATTAAATGCTGTTTCTGTAAAATCTGACAGCTGACAAAAAACTGGGACAAATCCTGAAAGGCTACCATTTCTAAAAAATATAGCAGTCCATTTTTACACTGAAGTTATTGATACGTACTGTTAATATTAGATTTTGAAGGCTTTTCACACATTTTTTAATTGTTTTAAGTTTACATTTTTGTTTGGGAGAAGACTGTTTTCTGACACAGGGCAAGTTTAGACATTAAAAAAATGAAAGCAGATCAAAACATATTAAAGTATATTAAAGAATATTTTTTCATAAATATAAATTCTGTAAAAAATAATGTTTTATTCCAGAAATAATGTGTTAATAAGTTATAATTTTGAGGTTTTTTTTTTTTTTTTTGGTAGAACATGATTTGTCCCAATTCTAAAGAAAGTGTGATACGTGGTTAAAAATACTGAATGAATGAATACAGTTTGTTCTATAAATGGTTAATACTGAATACCAAGCTCCTCTTTGGTTACACAGAGTATACATGCACGATTTACATATTTAGAGTGCGGTTACACGTTTTTGAGCAAAGCAAAGATTAGAGCACTGGTTCCCAACCTGGGAGTGCTGGCCCCGAATATGGGTCACGAGGTCTTCTTGATTTTACGCAGTGTAAGAAATCATTTTAAAAAAATACACAGTAAGTCTACTTAGGAAACTAAATGAAAGTATTTTTTAAGTTCAGTATTCAATATAAACTTAAACATATCTCACAGGATGAGGGCACAGTGAAGACCTGAACACGAGCTACATTCACAGAGCTTCACTCTCCGCTAAACAGCCTCATCACGCATTAGAAAAGTACGTGGTTAAAACAATCAAAGTGCTAACAGAACAATGGCCACGTGTCAGTGAGAAGAAAACACTGCATCTGTCAAAACAGAAGCCTATTTAAAAAAAATACATAATACAGTGGAGAATTGTATAAAAACTTCCTAAAATTAAAAGGAAAATCATCTCTGGTACAGTATCAACAGGAAATAATCTGTTAAACATTCATCCAATCGCTTGTTTTACACATCCTGCAGTTATGTGTTCACTCTTTAGGTTATTGGTACAGTTTATCAGTTCTTCTGTACTGTTATCGTTACACAGTGAATATAATTTAAATATCCTTTAAATATGTCACTTAGTCAGAGGTCGTTAGTTTAGTCAGTGATTTAAAAGGTTGGAAACCAGTAGAGTAGAGCATGGTTTTTCAGTCTCTTTGGCGTGGTTTCTTTGTTGCTGGCTTGTGAAGGGAGCGCTCACAGAATTCACTATAGGCGTGGGCCCTCTTCTATCACCCCCCTCTGCATTCTGCCCTGTGGCACCTCCCTCAGAGGTGGGATCCAGGCGATTGGTGGAACGGTTCATTGGTGAGGGACCCTTTGTGGAGGTGCAACAAGGATACAGATGCTGGTTCCATCCTGGGACTGGACCTCGCACCAAGGGCCTTCATGGTGGTTGTAACAGGTGACTTTACAGGCCACCCTCTTTGCACTTTTTCCATGTGCCGGTGCCATGCCAGTGTAGACAACAGTACTGTTCGCTTTGAGGTGCAAATACTGTTTGCCAGGCTTGAGAAATGGCATGTGGTGTGGTACCCAACCTGGTCTGGCGTAAGTTATAGTCTTCCAGACTCTGGGATGCTTAAGTTGTTCATAGCTAAATTTTTGACCACTGTGGCTGAACAGCTGCAAACGTAGACTTGTTGTCTTGGTGGGACCTTGCTCAGCAGGGGCAGGGGAGCTCTTAAGGATGTTGGATGGCGACTCCGTCCTGCCTTGTATATGAGCGCAGTCCCCTGTATTTCCAGGTTGCTTTCTTTCCCTTTGTATTCCCTCTGTGTCGGTGGAACATAGGTGTGGAAAGTCCACTTCCATCTGGGAACAGGTGGAACAAGATGTGTGGGAGCTGTGATGGTCTGGCCTGTCTTCCTCCTGGGTAATGGTCTAGGGGTAAGGCAGCACATTAGTGATCTGTGTAAACCAATCTCATGTTCTACTGTTTTGAAATCACATAGCATCCGTGTTTTCCCTCAGCAGAGTAGTAGAGTTTTCTCCCATCACCATCTGTCTGGGTCTATTGTTCTTGGTCTTTCGCTTTTCGTTCTCGGACACTTCGCTCAAGTGGCTTTAACATTTCTTTGCTCCGAGTCCTGCTTGAGGTCTGGTAATGATTTGGGTAGGATGTGTGGTGAGGGGAGGTAACTTTCCACTAGGGGATAGTTTGTCCCTCGGGGTGGACTCCCTCCCCGACAAAAACATTCACCCGTAACACCAAATAGAGAGAATTACAAATATCCTGGTAGTAATCAGTCTCCCACCAGGAGTTTGGGAGCGTATAACGGCTTTCTTCTGGTTCTACGCAGCTGTGTCGGGGGTTTCATTTAGGGTGGTGTTTAACGTGGTGAGCTCTAGAGTGGTGGGAGACTGATGTGCCAGTTCCCATTAATGGGCATCCTTCCGGGTCATCCAGGGTCTAACTGAAACTAGAAGTGTCTCTCTGTGGATAGAGGGATTAAACATGCACACCGTGGATTCTGTGATGTTGGGTTTCTTGGTGCTCCCCACTGACCAGGTACTGGTTGAAATATTTTCTCCCTTTTGGGGTCTACCGGGCGTTGCAATGATAAATCTCTAGGTTTAATCCTGGTCCTTAAAGGGAAAATTCGGTTTATTTCAACCCGTCTCCTATCATCCTAAAATTGTTTCAAGTGACTGGTGACATAAAAATAATAGTTAGCATGTTAGCCGTTAGCCTAGATACAGCCGGGTCACATAGTAGCGTCAGACCTGTTAAAATGTAAGTAAACGGGCATACTTCAAGTGCAAAGTTAGTCCACTAAACAAGCTTTTTTTCCCACAAAGACCGCCTCATATCGTTAGGATAAATGTCAGAGAACATATAGAAAACAATATGTAAACATGTTGTCTACCTTACCGGTGTGCTGCCATGTTTGTTTACCATTTAGCTCTGCTTTCCAAAGCGCGGCCGAAACATTGCAAGAACAAGCAGCGATCTCATACTGTGCCTGAAATCTCGCAAGCTCTAGATAAAGCCCAGCTGGATACTACTCCAGGTGGAGGTGTCTCGTCCTCGGTCACATCCAGACCTTGAAAATAAGGCTGCAACCGGTCCCATTCCTTGCAACAGAGGCATTCCTCTTCTGTGGGCACTGGGGCACAGCATTCACAGGTACACCACCAATCTCCAGAGCTACGCAGCCTTGCAGCAGCCATTCCTCCTCTCTCGTCCTCTACCTGTTGCACCTCTCTCTTTCTCCTCCTCCGTTCTTCAATTTCATGAAGCTCTTCGTCAGTGTATTCTGGCTCAAATAAATAAGGGCGGCCATCAAACAAACAGCAAAATCAAATTCCTCCTCCACAAAGTCGAAGTCTGGCAAAAAAGTCAGCCATTATTCTATAAATCTTTGGTAAAATAAATGAATGAACTTTTCAGGCTACTGTCCGGTTCTGCCTTCCAGCTGTTGCTGCTTGTTCTCGCGAGATTTCAGGCACAGTATGAGATCGCTGTTTGTTCTCGCGATATTTCGGCCATGCTTTGGAAAGCAGAGCTAGATGGTAAACAAACATGGCAGCACACCGGTAAGGTAAGACAACACATTTACATGTCGTTTTCTATATGTTCTCTGACATTTATCCTAACGATATGAGGCGGTCTTTGTGGAAAAAAAGCTTGTTTAGTGGACTAACTTTGCACTTGAAGTATGCCTGTTCACTTACATTTTAATAGGTCTGACGCTACTATGCGCCCCGGCTGTATCTAGGCTAACGGCTAACATGCTAACTATTATTTTTATGTCACTAGTCACTTGAAACAAATTTAGGATGATAGGAGACAGGTTGAAATAAACCGAAATTTCCCTTTAAACGTGAATTTGCAAAAACTTATAAACTAGTCGGCACCAATGAAAGACACTGCTGCTAGCTAGCTAACACACCACACAGTCCTTTCACTTAACTCCACACTGCTTGGAGACTCCAAAGCACTAAAGTTTGTTGATCTGGTGGGAGCAGTCTGGGATCAGATCCCCCACCCTGGGTTTACGCAGGCTGAACTGGAGCATCTACAGCCACTAAAGTTCCGTTTTCGTAAATTATGACAGCTACAGCAGCTCGGAAAAAACAATAGTGGTAGTTGCAGGGAAATATTGCCAACTTTCAACCAGCTCTGTCATTGCATGGTGGGCAGTATGTGCACATGAATGGTGTCTGGCTTCACCACATACTGCAGCGCTGCAAGCTCCCTGCTCTGGCAGATGAGCTGGGACACAGAGCTGGTTGAAAATCAGTAAAGCTCCTTTTAACAGATAGCAACGTGAATTCAGCCATGAATAATGAGTGTTAATCTTGGCACTGCTTATAAGTCTCGGTCACAGTTCAATATTAGACTGTGTCTCTAACACATAGTGATATTATCGATAATTTCTGCTGTTATTGTTGTTATCGTATCTGGTGGTTAGAGACACTGGAGTTAAATTATTCATTCTTTCTCTCTCGCCTCGTTGTGCTGCTGCACTCCATAAATCCTTGAACAACCCTGTCAGCCTAGCAGCTTGTCAGGAGGTAGCGAAGAAGTCTTAGTAACTCGCTGAGTACTTGTGAATGGTTATACAGCGTTACATTTTGGAGTCCATCTGACCCAGCTCACAGTTGCCCTTCTGGGTTGCTGAAATAATGATACTCCCTTACCTTTGTGCCACTAGTAGTGCTGTTGTCAGGTGGTGCTCCCTCTCTTATTGGCTTCTCCTGGCCTGAGTGTGTGTCTCTACAGGAAGAAAACAGGAAGAAGTTCAGCAGCAACATACAGGCAAACTGCAGGAGAGAAATCATGAAGACAGTGTGTTTTCAAAACAGCAACACACAATGAAGCTGTTAAACTGTAGTAGGAGTATTAACACAATATACAAACGTTATTTACTGACACTGAATATATCTGCTCAGATTTATTCAGTATTCCTGATTTAAATCATAATTTGCCAAATTAAGACTGTTTTTTATTTAGACAAAGTTCTGGTATGAGAACTCATTGTATTGTATCGACTTTAGAGTTAAATCATTTTAAACAATATCCAGTTCTAGTCAGTAAAGCTTGCTTGGGGGGGCTGAACAGCTCAGTGTCTCTGTGTCTCTGTAGCAAGTTCACCAGTTTAGATGTTATAGATTCCACTGTATTACAAAATGAGCTGTAGACAAAGGGCAGTAATCAGTTACTAACCCCAATCTGTCACTCTCTGCAGGACAAACGGTGGTACTGCAGGAGGCTGCAGCATGTGCAGCTACTCTGGGAAGTAAAGGTTCTTCTTGTTGGTCTGCGTTCTCTCTCCCGTTACTGGTTGAGTCTGTCTGGGTACTCGGTCCTGTCATTGCAGCTGTGCTTTGATTAGGCAAAGGGGTGGATGTGTGACTTTTACTTGGACCCCGCTTTTCTCCCAGTAACCCCTCCACTCTTACTGGAGTACCAGCTCTCTGATCTCCAGCCTCTCCTCCTCCTCCTCCTCCTCCTCCTTGACTTTCTCCACTCCTCCATCCACCTGTGGGAGTCTCTGCTCTGCCCTCCCTCCTCTCCTCCACTGGCTCCTGCTGTAACCTTGAGTGGATTAAATCCAGAGTGGCTGCCACTGCTTTCCTGTCACGAGGGACCTCCACCGACTTGGCTGGACCTCCTTGAGCTAAAAGAGGGGTGCTGGTGGTTTGACTGCCTCCTGTAGGAACGAGATTGGGGACGAAGCTTTGGAAGGAGTTGATGCTCAACTCCGCCTGAGAGTCCAACTGCTGCTGCAGCTGTGCCTGACGCTCAGCCCGTAACTGTGTGATGGCCAGTCGGAGAACCTCCAAGTCTGAGTCTGAGTGGGGCATGACACCTTCCTTACAGGAGGCGTCCGGGACGAGCTGGTCAGACAGATGGGGGAGAGTGGGGAGGATGGAGCCGGACTGCTGGAGAAGATGTTGGGGCTGGTCATGGGAGGAGAGAGGATGGATGTGGTCTGGGAAGATAGAAGGAGAGCGTTCAGAGCCTGACACAGAGTCACTATGACTCAGCTGCCGCCCGAGACCTGAGGACAGAAGAGAACACTGAGTAGAAAACAAAGTAGAATAAGAACACACTACTGGATAAGTGAGAAAAAAACTTCACATGGAGCTGCTGATGCTCAGGAGATAGAGCTGGTCGTCCACTAATTACAAGTTGGGTGGTTCAATCCCCGGCTCCTTCAGTCTGCATGTTGAAGAATCATTGGGCAAGATACTGAACCCCAAATTGCTTTTGATGCCTGAGTAGCAGGTGGTACCATGTAGCCTCGGCCACTCGTGGTGTAAAAGCACTTTGAATGGTCAAAAGACTAGAAAAGCGCTACACAAGTGCAGTCCATTTACCATTTGTAATTTAATATAATTATTATTATATAAAACTATTTTAGTCAGTTTTTTAAAGTCCAGATGAAACATTCTGTGAGTATTTCGCTTCGGTATCGTAACAAATTTCCAAATGAAACAGCATAGGTAGGTGGGATACAATGTTGGGGGGAATGTGATGTGATTGTTGAAAAGTGGCCATATGATAATGGTCGTAACAGTGAAACCCCAATCATGTAATACCAACAGGACGGTAGGTAGTATCTGTCAGGGAGAAAAAGACAAAGGGCATTGTTATAAAAATTATGATCACATTGTTTAAGCATGCCATTGTGTTGTGCAAGTCTGGAGGATCGTTACGTTTCATTCTATAGCAACTGCAACATCAGCAGGCAGTTAAGGATAAGGGAAGTCCGTCACTATATCTATAAGAGGAAATGAGACAAACAGAGGGTCGGAGACAGGTCGGGGACAGTGTCATCTGGAGGACAGTGTGACATGACGTCACACTAACGGAAAACCATTGTTATCTATGTCTATATCTATCTAAATCTGTACTTGATAGATTAGGGGAACTGAAACACCCGAACTCCAATGCCCAATTGTACTGTATAAAAGCTTGCAGTAGATGCTCCTCAGGGAGCCTTTTCTCTGTAACCTCATCTTGTGTGTTGCACTGTGAAACGCTCCTCTTTTACAAGATAATAAATTCTGTTAAATTTTGATATTTTGGCTCCTGTCTCTATTTGCTTTAAAGGTCATTACAAACAAATTCTTATGACAGGCATCATATGCTCCACGTAGTTGCTGAAGCAGTCCACTGTGAAATGTTGTATGCATAATCTGGAGATGTCACAGTTACCACTTTCCTCAAGTGACTCAATTCAAGCCAGTGGGTCTGTAACCACAGTATTTCGGGAGAAACTGAGACACACCAAAGCAGCAAGTAAGCTACATGTATGTGTGCCTGAAGTTGCAGAAAAATTTATGGGTGGATGTTATGATATTATTGGCTGAAACTAGTTGGTACTAGCTTATGTAAACACAAATCATATTTTGTTTTACAGGAAGAAAGCATGATTGGATTCTGATGTGAGAACACAAAGAAATTGAATTTTTGTATTTTTTTGGCATTTAAGAAAGAAATTGCATGACATAACTAGGTATGTTAAAAAGGTCCATCTCAATTTTAAGCAAATATGCCAAACATTTGCTGGTATCTTGCTTCAGAAATGTGGGAGTTTTGTGCTTTTCATGGTCATACATGATACAAAATGAAGAGCTTTGGGTTTCTGAACTGTTGGTTGAGTAAAACATACCATTTGAAGATGTCCCCTTGAGCTCTGGGAGATTACACAAGACTTTTCCCCTCAATTTTCTATTCTATATTTCATTGACAAACTGATTAATAGATGGGGCGTTGGTGGCTTAGTGGCAGAGCAGGCGCTCCATATACAAGGCTGTTGCAGCAGCAGCCGGGGTTCGAATCCAGCCTGTGGCCCTTTGCTGCATGTCATCCCCCCTCTCTCTCTCTCCCCCTTTCACGCTTACCTGTCCTGTTCATTAAAGGCACAATGGCCAAAAAAAAATATCTTAAAAAAATTAAAATTAAATAAAAAATAAAAGATTAATAGAGACAACAATGGGCAAATTTTTTGATAATGAAAATAATCCCTAGCACAAACGCTGATAAATTGCCTCAAGTGATGTCACTGGAGTTGGCGTCAGTTTGGGTTAATGACTACAAGTCTGAATCTGAAATTTAAAAAAAAATCTGGGGTAATGGAGTTAGAGGGTAGCGAGCTTACCAGACCTTTGTAACCTGCTGCTCCTCTCTGCTTGAGGCTACATTAACTGCCATATGCATAACATGGCTGAATATCTGAATTAAGTCAAGTGCCATTGTGGGTAATGTAGGCACCAGGTTTTGCCAAAAAAGAACAATGCATGAAATAAAAAAAGACGACATCTCTGGTTCTGCTGCACCAATTTTGATCGTTTTTTTTTTTATAAAAACTGTACATTGCAAGTTTGACAATGATAAAGAAGTTCAATGCAAAATCGGTACTCTGAAGATCTCAGGCATTTATACTGAGAATAATGTTCAAGTCTACTAAGATGGCTGTGCTTGTTGAATGTTTCACATATTTCACAGACACCATAACTGACCTTTGGGAGCCAGCATGTCACCTGTGATTGGCTGCCTGTCCTTGATGTCATGGCAACCAACCAGCCTGGTGAAGTTGTGCAGAATTTCTTCACTAGTGGCCACGATGATGCCGTTGGAGTAGGCAGGGAACATCTCAAAATTATGCTCTGAGTGAAAAAGACAAGTAACATCAGTGCTACAGGTAAATTATATTTTCAAATCTCAGCAGCTCATCTGGTTATCACTGCGAACATGTACGTACCGGTCAGGAAGATTGTGTGCCGGTACTGCGTGTATCGGGCCTGGAGCTCCATCAGACAGTTCAGGTCAGGTGACTGATGGCTCATGTCACAGTCATGATATGGGAGGAACTCGACAATCTGTCGCTTCTGATAGGTTGACAGCACCTCCAGCAGGTTGGCTGCATCTCTCCTGAACCTGACGACCAAACCAACACGATAGAAGACTTTTTTTTTTACTGTCTGTGCTTCAAAACAGTCTCAGCCATAAGTCAGGGTCCATCTGATCTGGATTCCAGCTACAGGATGTAGTGGAGAGCATTTTAACTGTGCTTCTGTTTCTGGCTTGGTGATTTGGTCTATAGTTATATAAATATAAATATGTGCTTATTGAAAAAATAAAAACACCAACATGCTGCCATGATGGCAATGATGAGGCTTCTGAAAGTAACAATATTATGCCATGCCTAGACATGTAGTGACTAAAGCTTAAGCCTCTAAATCAAATGTTACAGTTTCATCTTGTGTCTGGTGTGCTGTAGTGTGGGCCGTTACACAGTGCAGACACAGAATCAGTACCTGGCTTGTTCCTTTAATTTCTTATGGGTTTTGCAGTGAACTTTCCACCTCCAGACACTATCTGGAACTGAACTATGCTGCTCCAGCAACATCAGCAGTGCAGCCAGTCGATCTGCAGAACATCATGTCAGTAATCAACACATCAGTTAAATAAATACAAACAACAATTCCACTACCAGTGGTGCATTAGTCTCGTAATATTAAAAAAAACTGGCTATATTTTTAACACAAAATTAATTTGTATTTCCTCAAAATAAGATTCCCAGTTTTATGTGTTAAGTGGGACATGTGAAAGAAAAAATGTTCCACTACAATAACCTAAAAATACACTCAGCTGAATACTGCTTTTTTAATCCTGACCTACCGGGAGTGATGAAGTCTGGATTGAGGACTAAATCGTCTGAAATGATGCAGCCTCCAGAGACAAAAAGCTCATTGTAGCTGTTGTTCCTGATGTCGTCCAGTGTATCGATTCCCAAAAACACCACAGAGGCCTGTCGCTTCAGAGACACCAGACCAGGGATCTGATGTGTATGCAAACACATAAAATCTTCTGTTAGTCATCCAGTAAATCTGTCCAGCATGGAAAACCACAAGGGTTTGTTTGTTTGGTTTGTGGAGTGACAGAGAGTGACTACTGGACACAATTACAACATCTGGCAACTGAAGAAACTAAGTAGCATAACAGCTAGCATAGTTAGTGAGGAAGTGAGGAAGCCGGCTCAAAGATGCTCAGAAAAAAATAAGGTTGGATCTGCCTGTTGGCTCATAGAACAGCTGACACACACCATGCAACACAGAACTGACCCTCTGTGGACCTTTGAGTGAAGTCAGAAGTTGTTAAACAGATTATCCAGACGTACCTTGTGTATGTGTCCAGCTATGTCTTTGTTCTTAATGATGACCAGCAGTTTGTTGTTACAGTTTTCTTGGTTCAGAAAGGCCACAGGACTCTGCTCCGAGTTACCCTGCTTCAACAGGTATTCCTACAACATGAGAGTACATGTAATAATTATACATCATTAAGGGCTGACTTTTAAAATGTATTTTTTAAAGAGATACACGATCGAAGCAAAACTAGATGTCACATGAATCTCAGCCATTACATTCCAGTTTGGACTGATCCCTTCAGGTTACCTTGACATCTTCGTGGACCTGGTCCCCTGGCTCAGTGCTGTGGAGGTAGAACTGCAGGGAGTTTCTCTTGACGTCTTTGATGATTTTCACCAGGCTGTTGAACACCTCTGGCTGCAGCTGGCTGATCAGGGAGCTCAGAGCAGCTGCTGGGGGAGCGGGGCCTGTGGCAGACCCGGGCACAGACACAGGAGCCAGATTCGAGACTGACTCAGAGGAGTGTGACAGTTCTATCAAGGGCTTAGAGACGCCGCCGAACCCGGACAAAGTCACCTCACAGTCTTTACCCCCAAGAACACTCCCACCTTCTACACCAGGGGTAAAATGTACAGTCCTGGTAATGCTGTTGTCTTGTGTTTGTCTGATGTCATGAGCGACTGTTCTACTGATCTCTGAAGAGTGACTTGACAGTGGATCCCAGTGGGACTGTGGGGAGCTGGTAGAAGGAAGGATGAGGACGGAAGTGTTGTAGACAGAACCAGACACAGAGGTAGGAACAGATAAAGTGACATGAGACGGTGCGGGGATCCTGTTGTTTGCAGTATCAGAAATCTGACTGGTGGTTGGATGTGGCAGAAACACTTCAACTCCTCTGGAGAGTGCAGGGTTTTGACTGAGTGAACCATTGACATCAGCAGCTGTAAGTTCACAACCGGAACCATCATCGTCTCTGGTAGTATTAGCTGCTCGAATGCTAGACACAAAATCACTAACTTTGCTCGCCAACATGGCATCAGCATCAGGCCGGCTGGTGCTGGGCTTATGGCTCAGACAGCTGTCATCAAACTCTATCAGCATGCTGTTAATGCGGTCCTGTAGTGAGCTAACGTAGTCCTGGACCGGGGGGCAGGGGTTGTAGAAAGACACATACTGTGAAAACTGAGATATGAGGGCCTGTGGGAGTGTGTGCTTGGGTGCAGTGGTTTCTGTGTTGGAGGTGGAGTGGGGGGACTGTGGGAAGCTGTAATGGATGCTCTCCTCTTGCAAGAGGAGCTCCATCTTAGAAGAGAAGTCTGCCAGACGTTTGTCTACAATGCTGTCGAGACCAGAGGGAGGTAAGGAGACAGGCAAAGAAAACAAAGAGCCACCTCCAAGTTCCTTCACCTCTCCTTTTTTCTCATTATCACTTGATTCCACAAGCATCATTTCCACCAACTCCCCCTCCTCCACCTCCTCCTCGGCTCTCTTTCCCTTGTTGGCCTCCTCTTCCCGTTGTTTTTGCACTTTCTCAAATGAGTGAGTTTCTCTTTCCTCTTCTAAAGGTTCTGCCTGTACCTCCTTCACATCAGCCGCTTCCCCCTTTGCATCTTTCTTCCCTCGCTCAGTGGGTGGTGGTGAGGAGCTCGTCCTCCTCTCTACAGCTGGAGGGACAGACGGCTGAATGGATGCAGAAACTGGCGGCTCTTCTTTCTTCTTTTCTGCCCCCTGAGGTTTCTCTTCTCTGTCTGTGGACACTCCTGCAGAAGGCAGACTATGTTAGATCGGAAACACAAAAGATGCATTCTGGGTACAACAAAACACGTCCTGAGTGCTATGGCATTATTTATAGTGAAGTGCAGAATGTGGTCAAGGCCTAATACGAATAAGAAACTCAGCAGGTGAAATGTAAAGGATTTGAGGCAAGTTGAAGCTGTTCTTGAGACACTTAAACACATCTTGGGTTGGTTCTCGCCATAACTTGTCACTTATCATGTTAAATGTTTAAGTCCAGTAAATGTAAAGCTACTTATACACAGTAAACAAAACAAAACCTGTTCATTCTACAACCATTGGTGCCACAGAACACCTGAAGTTTATGTGCATACGTACATCACACAGTGAAACCTAAAGCTGGGGTAGGCAGTTTGAAAATACACCCTCCTCTTGAAGATCTCCCCTCTTGGTCGTAAGCCCCTCCCACCAGACTAATGATTCTTTTAAATCATTCTGATCATTACTGTTAACGTGATGCTGTTATATAGCTAAAATTCAATGAAAATTACCGTCCTATTTTCTTAGTGAACTCGTGGGCCTGTGAAGCCCTTTGAGTTGACACACTGTGATTCGAGAATCTAGCTTGCTACATAAGCATGGAGCTAAATTAGTCACAGGCAACAGCCTTGGACGTGCACGCACATCTGCATTTACAAAAGCCTGAAAACAGAGCTTAGCAGAAAGTGCAGTAGTCTGGTCTTCTCTTAGTCCACTTGAATGACAATAAGCTGAGACTTATTATGAGATTTTTGCCCTATGACACACACACACACACAAAAAAAATTCTGCCTACCCCAGCATTAAGAGCTTGTCTTATATAACAAACCAAATTGAGGCCGTTGCAGTCATCACTTAACTATAAGCTAAAGGATAACAAAATCAATTCAGCACTGAAAAGCATAAGGTCAGAAAACACAGAACTGCAACAACCACAAATCTGTGTCTACTTTCTTTCTGACAGGCTTCAGCAAACACTGCAACTGGAAATAAATGTGGGTGAACTGTAAAATGGCAAATATCCATGACATGGCAGAAAAACAGTGGGTGGCATTAAAGTCTAAAACTTCAACAGGTGCAACAGGTAGAGCCAGAGACCAGCTGAGTGTGGGTGAGGTTACCTGCAACCTCCCTGGAGGCTGTGCGGGTTAACTGCTCCTTGTTAGCACCACTGTGATCCTTGTTAAACGGTCTGAGCTTGTTAGGCTCCTCGGGCTGGCACCGTGAGGAGGAGGGGGGGCCGCCAACCCGAAGAGATGGGCATTGGGAAGGAGAAGGGGGAGGGCTGGGCTGTGGAGACGGGCATTGGGAGGGAGAGGGAGGAGGGCTCGGCTCAGGGGACGGGCACTGAGACGGGGAGGGGGGCGGACTGGGCTCTGGAGACGGGCACTGGGAGGGTGAAGGCGGAGGGCTGGGGTCGGGTGATGGGCACTGGGAGGGGGAGCGAGGAGGGCTGGGCTCAGGGGATGGGCACTGGAAGGGGGAGGGAGGAGGGCTTCGCTCAGGAGACGGGGTGGGGCTCTTCCTGGGAGGTTTGGTTGTTGTGGTGATGCATGTTGCTGGGGTGAGATGCTGGAAGCGAGGGTCCTGAGGGATGTTTCTGTCTCTGTGGGTGTACCTCGGTGAACACAGACCTGCAGACAGAGATGAAGTTTGAGTCTGAGGTAGCATTTTGCCCACTGGCCACTTCAGTAAACTATTTTAACAACAAAATTAAAAAAAATTCAAAACACATCTGTATTACACTGTATGAACACTGAACAAACACTTTCCTAAAAGGTAACGGGTCACAACAGGCTACAAAACTGAAAATCATCTCATCTTTTATGCTATGAAATTGAAGATACCGAAGAGAATTTTGATGAATAAAACTTGTGCATTAGAGGAGGTGTTAAAATTAGTACCACCTTATCTATATTAAAAGTTCAACGTGTAGGATTTAGGGGGGTATATCGTCAAAAACTGAATGTAATATAATAAATATGTTTTCAATAGTGTATAATGACCTGAAAATAAGGTGACAACTATTAGGATGTTTTTAACGTATATCCTGGCTAGACAGACAGACAGACAGACAGACCTGTAATGGGAATGAGGACCCACGGGATCTCCCCCTCTTCCTCCTCCTCCTCTTCGTATGCTCTCCTCCCCAGCCCCCCTCCTCTACCTCCATGGTGATTCATCTCCCCGCTGTGGGAGCTGGGACTGAAACCCTCCAAACTGCTGACGCTGCCCGCCGTCTGCTCCTACACACACACACAGACACACACGTTTCATTAACTTTATCTGCTCCATTTCGAGAATTTATTTTAGAACCTTCTGACCTAGTACTAAAGAGGGTCTAGAAAGTGAAGAAGCATAACTATTTCTATTAGCAAAGAAACTCAAATTACAGTACATGTCAAATGAGTTACATTCAATGGGAGATTTACACAAAATGTAATAAGTGATGCAATAAATTCATCCTTTTTTTTCATGTAATGCCTTGTACGATGTAGCTACGTCTATTAGCACCTGTACTTTTGCAAGACAATACACAATGCTCCCTCTGGGATAAAAAATAAAGTGATAATAACATTATTAGCTTGGTTGTGTTAGCTTAACTAACAAACACAAAGACCTCAAAAGATGTTGTAGAGAGTAACTGCTCATTAATCTATATTATTTCATGTTCATATTAGACTCAGCTGATCTTAGGAAGTATTTTTTACACGGAATGAGGACTGTTTGCTCCAAGTCTTACAGTGTCATCACACTATGAAGAAATCACTTAATGGCCGGTATAGTACATATAAGCATCAGGCTTTCGTTCCACCAAACAGTCTGGTTAGTTCAGTTCAGTTCATTACACATTAGTATGGTTATTTTTGCGTTTCCATTGTCACAAGCTGTGGATGGTGACAACAAGCCTGTTTTTTCGTTACCCCTGAAATAAATAAATGAACTGAACTGTTTTAAAATAGCCTAATTAAGCCCTTCAATACATGAACTTTGAATGAGCACAAATTCAATCATACCAATACATGAAACAACTTCTAATATAACCTTTCACAAGAAAAAGATCTTTTAAAAAATAATCGCCTTTAAAAGCCTTTTTACTATATATACACATATACAACAAATTTCTCTTTTCAACAGCTGTACTTTTTAAAGTTCCTCACCAAAAAATACATTTTACAAGATCAAACTGAACACATCATGAGAACATATTAATTTACCTTCACTTGATACATTTTTTTTCAACTGAATAGAGCTTGAACACATCATAATGTCACTAAATGCAACCTCTGTGAGCAGTTAGTTGCGGCCACTGGCTACTTAGAGCTAACGCTAGCTAGCTCTCCTCCTGCTGATTTTAACACTGATTCGTTGTTAACAATGTAGCATTATCAGTAAATGATGGGCCACGTCCTCTGACACAACAATAGTGAGTTAACTGCGTCTTTTTGCTCCGAAAGAATCCTGAGGAAGATCTTTGTTTGTCCTAATGTCATCTTACTTGCTGATAGTCCCATGGCAGTCAACTAGGGGGATATCAGCCTGCGGATAAATTGGTGCATCCCTAATTGGTACAGTATTAAGATAGTGTTGATCTCATGAAATCTCTCTGCAGGAAAGGAGTTGATTAGCCATTGCGCTTATCCAAGTATGTCAGGAGGAAATATTTGAATCCAAGAATGACAATCTATCTTTCCTTGATCAATTTCAGGGAGTGTGTTCCATAACTGGGACATTTCTCTTCAAACAGGCAACAGCAGCTCAACAATATGGAAATAACATGTCACAGGCTCCAAGGTGACTGTCCCAAACCACTGACCTTAGTACGCATCTTTACAAAAGTTTGTAAAAAAACAAAAGACACTACAAAGCTAAAATATCTGCCAGTAACAAATATTTACTTCAGTTACCTCCAGCTCCTCCTGCTTCCTCAGGTCAATGTCGACGTTGGTGGGAAGACCCAGCTTGGTGGCCAACCTATCAAATGGAGAGCTATCCCTGTGCACCTCCTCCTGCACTTCAAACTGGCTCTGATTGGCTGTTCCCCGGGCAGCCTGGGTCAGAGCTGTCATCGGGCAGAGAAACATTCACTCAGTTTTCAAAACATCATCATAACAAATGATTTCACAGTCTCCTTGTACTGTTTTGATGCAACACGACCAACTGAACTAAGAGAGATGGATCACTCCCAGAAAGGAAAGGGCTACTGCAGCGATAAAGAAAAAAGATGTTGAGTGAACAAACTAGTAGAAAAGACCAAAAAGAAGATGAAGAAAAAGTTAAAGGCTCCACAGGTGTTACAGCAGATACTGTATGTAGTCTGGCAGAAAGTCCTAGTATCTAGTCACCTGTTAGCAGACCCAGAAGCTTAGCAGCTAATTCAGATCCATCTTCCCTCAGATCAACGTCCTTCAAACCCACCGAGCCAATCACAGACGCAAGAGAGCCAGGAGAGGCGGGGACTTGACTTCCCCCAGCTACGAGCCAAAAGCAGAGAGAGAACATGTCAGTAAAGCAACACATCAGCCACCCACTGCAAGATGAATGATAAAATACAAAGAGGCAGCAACACACTGGACAGTAGAGACATTCTGACCTGATCAATAAATACTGAGAGCCAATCCGGGCATAAATTAGCTGGCTCAGGTTTGGATGTTAGCTGTTGCTGCTGTGTTAGCTCATGCTAACTAGAGCTCGTGGGACAGGCTAGACAAGGTCGGCCTTGGACAGAAACTGTACAGGTTTACGTAGGGTGAGGCCGGACCTTTTGAGCCTGATCAGAGCTCTAGGGCTCAACAGGCAGATATTGACTGTTTTCCAGGATGACAGTGGCTCTAGAGATGGCAGCAACAGAAAGTTTGCTTATCTGGTGGGGGGTCAGCATGGTCCAGGATAAGAACCCTTGATATGACTTTGTACTGGTTAATTTGGTCAATGCGTTAAAGCTACCGAGAACCAATACCCAGCCCTAACGGGTGAAGCAGCACGTATTTTAGCCTACCTAAAAATATCAATATAATTCTTATTTTCTCGGCTTTACCTTGACATCAGACAGTCCTTTAAAGGGGAACTAATGTTTTTTTCAACCTGGGCCCTATTTTCCGATCTACTTTTGTCTAAATGAGTGATAGGATGTTCAATATTTGACATTTCTCCAGTACGACGCTAGGGCTGACCTGCCTGCAGCCCGTGAGCGCGTGCTATATTAAATAATAGGGCACTCAGACAACATCAAACAACATGAAAATATGTCCACTTAAAGTGTATTTTTTTCACACAAATAGGCTCGGAGTGTTAGTATAATTATCCGACAACATAACGGAATGGAGAAATGAACGTCTGTGTTTACCATAACCTGGATTCGGACATGTTCCTCTGCCCGTTGCTGCTCCCTCTCTCTCCTTGTTTGCTCTTCAGTTTCAATGAGCCCTGCCTCCGTGTACGTCCGTGTACTCCATGTTCAAATAAATACGGGCGGTCATCAAATTCAAATGGCTCATCCAGATCCAGTTGGTCAAAATCGGGTAAAAATTCGGACATGTTTGTTGTGGCAAGTCAAAACACTCACTCAGAGAGAAAAAGTCCGGCTCTGAAATGTCACGTCTCGCAAGATTTGAGTTGTTGCAGGAGGTTACCGCTGGAGTGGCCTTACAAACGCGAGGAGGTACTCTGTTTGGAGTAGTCATGGCTGAATTTTTACCCGATTTTGAACAACTGGATCTGGATGAGCCATTTGAATTTGATGACTGCCCGTATTTATTTGAACACGGAGTACATGGACGTACACTGACGAGGAGAGAGGGGGAGCAGCAACAGGCAGAGGAACATGTCTGAATCCAGCTAAAGGTAAACACAGACGTTCATTTCTCCTTTCTGTTATGTTGTCGGATAATTATACTAACAATCCGAGCCTATCTGTGTGAAAAAAATTCACTTTTAGTGAACATATTTTGACGTTGTTTGACGCTGTCTGAGTGCCCTATTATTTAATATAACATAGTAACTGCAACTGTACTGATCCACTGATATTAAGATGTCGGGGAACTAATAATAACCTAGCACCGTGTGAAAGAGTTTTGCCAGGACAACTGTTCTGACTCTTCATGCGTGTGTGTGTGTGTGTGTGTAAAAGAGGAACTCAATAAATAATGTAATGGTTTTCATGAAGCTATGGAGAAATACTATCTGCTGACGTGTGAAAAACGTGTGTCAAACGGTCATACATCCCGTCATGCAGTGAGGTGATGGTGTTAAAATCTGTCCTCTGAGGAGGGACTGCCCCTCGTCAGTGATATCTGTGTAATGCTGGTGATGGCTCTCGCTTGCAAGCAACAAGATCAAGAACCTCAGAGAAATACTGTGTGTGACAAATTACTGACTCTCACCAAATCTAGACAGAGACTGGTTAAAATTTACACAGCAGGAGACACCTGAATTTACTGAAAACCTCCCAGATCCACATGCTTAAAGGTATAATATGTAGTTTTTCCACATAAAAATGTCTAAAAACGACTAAACCAATATTATATGTTTTGTTTAGTTGTGTACTTTGATTATCAGAAATATTTCCAACAATTTTTCAAACCCAGATAAATATGAAATATTAATAAAAGTTACGGACCGTGTCATTAGGTCGTAATGGCGACGTAACTCCAGTTACCATAGCCATTAAATGAAGGAGAAGAAGAAGCGGCAGACCGGATGAGACGTCAGAGAATGAACGTTACTGTTGCTAGGCTAAGCTAACTCGTCATGGATCATGATTATGCACTGACGGTTGCTGCACCTTCTGACACCGAAGCTGTCCCGGTAAACAAGCCGGTTAAACGGAAATGTACGGGTCAACCAATCGATCCCAGAAGAATTTGGGATAAGAAGAGAGCTAAATCAAGGATAAATATTGGTGTGGCCTTTCTGAGATGGAGAGAGCTTTGTGAAAATCTAGGACTACAATTCGACGCCGACCTTGCGTGTGTTCTACTAGACAGGTAAGCAAACATCTGGCTGATGTTATCGAAATATTAATCATTTCCACCAGTGTACTGCAAGCACTGCTGTCTGCCGGGGCACCAGCGCTCCGGCCAGCGGCCTCCGTTGCGGAGCGGTGTGGAGCAGAGGCTGGCTAACCACAACATCTAACGATAGGTTTCTATAATGCTGAGCTGATGCCGGTAAATGAACTGCATTCATAAAAGAGGCAGAGGAATAGCTAAACATAAGACGCACTGAGCAAGAGAGAGCAGCAGAGAGGGAGAAGCCATCGCTAACTGTAAAGCTAAGTAAGATCTGTATCTGTTATATGACTACAACTCCCATGATCCCACGCTACTTTGTGACATCATCCAACTCCGTCTTCTGTTACTGTTTTGGTTTGAGACCCCTAGCAGCAGAAAATTACGTATTGCACGTTTAAAATATCTTTACAGTCAATTTATGATTTCGTGATTCCAATTGTGTTTACTATTATTTTTCTATACTGGTGTATTTTGTACATGTCTATTGCATGTCTGTCCATCCAGGGAAAGAGATCCCTTCTCTGTTGTTCTTCCTAAAGTTTCTTCCATTTTTCCCTGGTAATGGAGGAAATTTTTCCTTATCTGAATTGAGGGTCTGAGGACAGAGGGTGTCGTATGCTGTACAGATTGTAAAGACTCTTGAGGCACATTTGTGATTTGTGGTATTGGATTGTATAAATAAAACTGACTTGACATCCATTTCTGACCACATATCTGAGTCTGGATCCAAGTGAAGTAGTCAAAATATTATTTGCCCCGACACTTTCTCCAGCTTTTTCCTGACATACAGTACAGGCCAAAAGTTTGGACACACCTTCTCATTCAATGCATTTTCTTTATTTTCATGACTATTTACATTGTAGATTCTCACTGAAGGCATCAAAACTATGAATGAACACATGTGGAGTTATGTACTTAACAAAAAAAGGTGAAATAACTGAAAACATGTTTTATATTCTAGTTTCTTCAAAATAGCCACCCTTTGCTCTGATTACTGCTTTGCACACTCTTGGCATTCTCTCCATGAGCTTCAAGAGGTAGTCACCTGAAATGGTTTTCCAACAGTCTTGAAGGAGTTCCCAGAGGTGTTTAGCACTTGTTGGCCCCTTTGCCTTCACTCTGCGGTCCAGCTCACCCCAAACCATCTCGATTGGGTTCAGGTCCGGTGACTGTGGAGGCCAGGTCATCTGCCGCAGCACTCCATCACTCTCCTTCTTGGTCAAATAGCCCTTACACAGCCTGGAGGTGTGTTTGGGGTCATTGTCCTGTTGAAAAATAAATGATCGTCCAACTAAACGCAAACCGGATGGGATGGCATGTCGCTGCAGGATGCTGTGGTAGCCATGCTGGTTCAGTGTGCCTTCAATTTTGAATAAATCCCCAACAGTGTCACCAGCAAAACACCCCCACACCATCACACCTCCTCCTCCATGCTTCACAGTGGGAACCAGGCATGTGGAATCCATCCGTTCACCTTTTCTGCGTCTCACAAAGACACGGCGGTTGGAACCAAAGATCTCAAATTTGGACTCATCAGACCAAAGCACAGATTTCCACTGGTCTAATGTCCATTCCTTGTGTTTCTTGGCCCAAACAAATCTCTTCTGCTTGTTGCCTCTCCTTAGCAGTGGTTTCCTAGCAGCTATTTGACCATGAAGGCCTGATTGGCGCAGTCTCCTCTTAACAGTTGTTCTAGAGATGGGTCTGCTGCTAGAACTCTGTGTGGCATTCATCTGGTCTCTGATCTGAGCTGCTGTTAACTTGCGATTTCTGAGGCTGGTGACTCGGATGAACTTATCCTCAGAAGCAGAGGTGACTCTTGGTCTTCCTTTCCTGGGTCGGTCCTCATGTGTGCCAGTTTCGTTGTAGCGCTTGATGGTTTTTGCGACTCCACTTGGGGACACATTTAAAGTTTTTGCAATTTTCCGGACTGACTGACCTTCATTTCTTAAAGTAATGATGGCCACTCGTTTTTCTTTAGTTAGCTGATTGGTTCTTGCCATAATATGAATTTTAACAGTTGTCCAATAGGGCTGTCGGCTGTGTATTAACCTGACTTCTGCACAACACAACTGATGGTCCCAACCCCATTGATAAAGCAAGAAATTCCACTAATTAACCCTGATAAGGCACACCTGTGAAGTGGAAACCATTTCAGGTGACTACCTCTTGAAGCTCATGGAGAGAATGCCAAGAGTGTGCAAAGCAGTAATCAGAGCAAAGGGTGGCTATTTTGAAGAAACTAGAATATAAAACATGTTTTCAGTTATTTCACCTTTTTTTGTTAAGTACATAACTCCACATGTGTTCATTCATAGTTTTGATGCCTTCAGTGAGAATCTACAATGTAAATAGTCATGAAAATAAAGAAAACGCATTGAATGAGAAGGTGTGTCCAAACTTTTGGCCTGTACTGTATCCCCAGGTATTCACAGGCTAGACAAGATGTGTGGCCCTTACAATAGATTCTGGGTCAGTCCAAGTCTCCTCTCAGTTGGAAATGTTTTGGGTCCTCCCAAGGGGATTACTGGGTCCCCCCAGTAGTTATGTACATTATATATGTATATTACACCAGAGGTCTAAATGTGCACACTAAGTGTGTAAGTGTGTGTTTGTAGGCATGTTCAGTATGCACTGTCATATATTTGAAACTGCTCGTGCCTTTGCAGACATGAGCAGGTGACAAAGCTTAAAAGGATAGTTCTGATTTTATGAAGTGGGGCTGTATGAGGTACTTATCCGTAGTCAGCGTATCAAATGCAGTACACATCTGTCGGCATGCTCCCTGTTTGGAGAAGCAGCAGGAGAGCCAAAATTGAAGCTAAGCAAAGTACTGCTGTGGACGGGGTAAGCAGCACAACATATTTTAGCCACCTGAAAAAAGTCCCAACCAAAAAAAATCCATATAATTTTAATTGTGTATTACTTTTAGAATATTTTCATTACTTTACCTTGCTGTCAGACAGTCCTTTAACTAACATAATAACTGCAATTGTGCTGATACACTGATATGAAGATGCCAGGCAACTAATACTAACTTACAGTTGCACAGCTGCTGGTCTATCGCTTCTTCGATCACTTAGTTAGTTTGTATTAATATATGACTTTGGTGAACCCGAACTAAAGTCAGACAATAACAAGAACAAAACTGATCAAGGCAGCAGTAGACCAACAGCCTGTGTGTTCAGTGATGTGAAATCACTGTTTTTTGCTTTTAAGAGAGCAATATAATGGCTTTAGCTCCCAATTGTAAAGCAGTGAATATACTCTAAATATACTGTGCACATAAAAGAATGAACCATTTTTTATTAGGTAGGACTTTTTTCAGTTAGCTATGCTACGTTTTGTTGCCGACCTCCACAACAGTACCAAGCTCAACTTCTGTGTCAGACTCCAGCTTGCCTCTCCAAACTGGGGGACGCACCGACCGCCATCTACTTTACATAATACAATGCCTATGGATAAGTATCTTTAACAGCCCTGCTTCAAAAGATCCAAACTATCCCTTTAAGTGTCTTAGATCCTCATGGCTACATGGATGTGCAAAAAATACTTTGACCTTTACTCTCACTAAAGAAGGGACCAAGAGGATACTTGAACTCCTTCACTTGGGGCAGCAACTTGCTTGTGATGTGAGGATAGCTCATCCCTGACCTCAAAGGTCAGGTCCCAAAAGCTTAGTGTACATAGCTAGGGATCAATCCACCAAGAACTGCTGACATCACCTGCCACATGACTAGCAGAAAACCCCCAGTGACGCATGTTGCTCAAAAGAGAAAATAAGCCTCTTGTCTCCTCACCTGGAATCTTGCTGTGTCTTCCGGGTTCTTGTGATGCCTTCAGGAACTTAAGTGCCCTCTCTGCCGTCTCCTGTTCCAGTTTCCTTTTCCTCCCTGGTACCTTCATCCCTCCTCCTCCTTCCTCCCTCCGCACCTCGTTCTCTGCATTCCTCTTACAGGTCAAGACCAGGTCAATCAGCTGCTGCATCTGTGTGACAGAAAACATCTTTGAGTTCCCTCTGGGCTGAAAGGCCAAGATGACAACATAAATATATCACAAGAGAATTTAGCGTTTCTAAATAGTTGGCACTACACCACACTGACACCATGTAGGTAAAGAAATCTTTTCCACACTGTTTTGGTAGTTGTGGTCACCCAAATGTCAGTTTTCACCTTTTGATTGTTGGTCTGTCCGTCTCCAGCTTTGCTGGTCGCCTCCTTTCCCGTCGCCTCTCTCTGGTCTCCACAGTTCTTCCTGAGTCTTGCCTGCCGAGGGTCCTCAGGACCAGAGTGCTCGTCCACCATCTGCTTGGCCCGGGCCATTGACAGCAGATAGAGGGCAGGGCTGTACAGGTAGGAGTGCAGATAGCTGTCCATGTTCAACCGGTGGTGTTTAGGAGCAGGAAACGGCTTTCCTTCCTCATCCAGCTTGGATTCATACTCGCCCATCGGGTACTGTCGGACCTGGAGAGCAAAGACAGAAATTTGTGCTTTAATGTGATGAGGAATGATTAGTAGAAACAGACACAGAACACAATACATATAGAGTAATTACACGCCAAAAGTATGTGGACACCCCTACAATTTCCAAAATAAAGAATATAATTTAAGGAGACGTTAGTCGTACATTGCCACTATTCAGTCCGGTGAGGTATTCCCGTGCATGGTGCTCCACACCGACAGACAGCTCAGGAGGAGGGTTGGCGCGAGCCTTGACTAGGGCGTGGTGCAACGCTGGCGTGAACTTGTTCAGCATCACCATGTTACCAGACATCCCCTCTGGGGCATCATGGGACGAGGAGGCACACCTTGATGCTATAGGGAAATAATAAAAACACAACATCAATATTTACATTAAAGCTTCAGTTTATGATTACTGTTGGTGTTGTTCATCCTCCACAGTTGATTCCGTTGTGCTTATTAAAGCTGCACTAATTAATGTTAAAGCTATAGTGCGTAATTTCTACAGGTCCGTAAATGGCCGTTTCACCCAAGCCACTACTAGAGGAGATGACACAATGCTGATTAAGCCGATCGGCTACTCTAACATTACGTGGTATTTTTCTATATATATAATTTTTAGTATGCTTGTCGACCAGCGACATTCCACGCTGGCGCACAGGAAATGCTTTCTCACAACAAGAAGGGAGGGGGAGGAAGAGCGGAAAGTGTCATAGCAAGAGGTAGAGCGCAGGTAGAAAGAGAAAGCAACATGGTGGAGAAGCGGCCGAGACACGGCTCAGAAGTGGATCCTACCACAAAGAAAAAGCCTGGATGTTCGGCTGAAGGTCTATTAGCAAAGAAGGAAAGTGACCGACGGAGAATGCAAACAAGGATTTGTATTGGTGTCGCTTTCCCTCGGTAGAGAGCCCTGAAGGAAGAAATTGGGCTGAGGGCAGACACGGATGTTGCCTTGCTGCTGTTGGATAAGTAAGTGACTTGGTTTATAATTATATTATGAGTAGTATGTGTTGCTGTTACATGTACTGGACCTAGTACTTTGTTATTTTCTTGGAAATGGTGCTATGAACATAATGTAATGTTAGCGTTGTGTACGCGGTGTGAAGCGAGTGTTACTCTGTGTACACGGTGTGTGGCCACTGGCAAGTGTTATTCTGTGTACGGTGTGTGGCAACTGGCGAGTGTTACTCTGTGTACGGTGTGTGGAGACTGGCGAGTGTTACTCTGTGTACACGGTGTGTGGCGACTGGCGAGTGTTACTCTGTGTACGGTGTGTGGCAACTGGCGAGTGTTACTCTGTGTACAGTGTGTGGCGACTGGCAAGTGTTACTCTGTGTACACGGTGTGTGACGACTGGCGAGTGTTACTCTGTGTACACTGTGTGTGGTGAGTGTTACTCTGTGTACATGGAAGTGCCGCCGGCTTATTAGTTGTAATAACACATTATCCGCTGGGAGGCGACAGAAGTTACGCACTATAGCTTTAATATCACAGAGGGTCAACTGACTATGTGATTCCACGAGTCCATCCTGGATCTGCTCCTCTCTTACGTTTGTCAGTATATCTCACCTAAAACTAGTAACTTGTTTGCACTCAAATGACGCCCTCTTACTGTCCAACACTACGGTTCACACTGAAATAGACAAACTGGCATTTATTGACATTTGAATTTGGTAATGAAGGAAAGATCACAGGTGCCAACTAGCTCTCTTGGTAGAGCAAGTGACCCATGTACAAAAGCTGTGTCCTTGCCGCAGCGGCCCTGGGTTCCCCCTCTCTCTCCCCTTTCATGTTATATCTGTACTATCACATAAAGGCAAAAAAGCCCCCAAAAATGTATTTAAAGTAAAGATCAGGACAGCACTGCAATTTGCATTTTTAATACGGATGGACGTTTCAGGCAAGATGCCCTTCTTCAGCAGGTACTCAATGTCACAAACAATGTACACAGGTGGGGCTAATTAAAGGTGATCACACTCAACACACAACAAGTACATCCCAGCAACAGGAGCCACAACTTTTCATGGCACAGAATCTTGTGGACTTGAGCACTGAAACATGAAAAAACACTAATATATTCCCTTCATAAAAAACAACCAAATGAAATCTCCTAAATCATCCCATTGAGGATGAGGGTATCAAGGAAATGTATCCAATATGTCTCCCTTCAGAGAACAATTCTGTCTTTATCACCACCCTGCCATGACATTTTCAATGTCTCAGAGCCCATGTAATGAAGTTCACTCAAGCTGTGGTTCTGACGAATGAACTGCCTGGCCAAAGATGATTTATCATCATAATGATAAACAGAATACTTATATTCACAGACCCTGTTTTTTTACTAATTTTTTCCAAACGCAAAACAAATTACACGGACATTTTAGCAGATGAACCACAAATTTAGCGTTATGCGTGATTGTGCCTCTAACCTTGGCGTCAACACCAAACTGAGGATGAGTGAATGGATTACCCTTGATCACAGAATAACAATGTATACAATTATGACATGGAAATGAATATGCAGTTTGGAAAACAGTGTAAATGAATCACCCATCCACCCACCCAGCAGCCCCTGTGTTACTCACTGGATTTGGCCAGATCTTTGGACTCTGGGAAGACAAACAAGGCCTGAAGACACCTCTTCCAGCTCTCTCCTCTCTCTGAAATACAAAAACACTATTGTTATTCTCAGTATTATGTTGTAGTTCATTCTTCTATGCCTCATACCTGCTTCATAAAAACATGATATCAAACTTTTCTAGTTGAATTTTTGTGAACACTTCATTGACATACGTAACAATATTATTTTTGTAGAGAAAATATTTAATAAAAATAATTTGAAGTGTGCACTGCAAGTAGTGGCTGCCGTGACAGACAAAGGCATCAGAGCTTAATCAACCTCTGACCCTATCTGTCCCATGTCATACCTGTGGGTGTGGCCATCTGAACGCTGGATATCAGGATGAGGAAGCCTCTGTCTGTAAGCGGAGTCACCAGAACCTGAAGAGAGACAAAAGCCATTCAACAATAACTCTCTCATTTCCTATCTTTCCTCTCCTTTTTTCTTCTTCCTTCTTTCCTTTTTTTGTGTGACGTTGTCACAACACTCCTCCAACAGTTTGTCATCCTACTGACGCCTCTGCTGTTAAAAGCTTAGCAAGCATTAACTTATAGCTTTTCACAAATATTCTCCAGAAAATGCGCTACTCTACTCTGTCTAATCTTTCTAAACGCTTTCTGTTAGGAGGACATAATCACCTGTGGAAGATATTTACAATTGTAACTATCTTTGAGACTGTGACACAAAAACTTTAAATTCTCAAATAAAAGTGCATTAACAGTAGCTTAACACCAATTAAAAAACAGCAAAGTACAATTAACTGCGAATGATTAGTGACAGACAACTTAATTGAAAAAAATAATTTACATCATGGAAAAGGAACCAAGACAACAGGTAAACATGAAGAAACTCTTGAGTTTGCATTAACAAGGGAACAGGGAATTAGGAATAAAGGGCCGCCTTTAACAAAAAACAGTTTCAAATAAAGGCACACTTGTCTCTGCCACTGAGGGAAATAAAAGCCCAATCTTAATATTTACGCCATGTTTACAGACGTCACATTGTTTTTTTAAATGTCTTCTGCGTACTGTACATGAGATCCTGTCATCTCTCTACACTGCAGCTGATTTACAATATCAAAGCAGGCCAAACCCACCACTCTCTTTATCTCCATCTCATGCAGCAGTCTCGTCACGCTGGTCGAAGACCGATTTCTGTCAGTCACCTCCAGAAGACTGCAGCAATGGCCGTCCTTCACAACTACACACAATAAAACACATAAAATCTTTTTCAATTTCTGTTTTAGTTTGATGATACCAATATTTAGACAGTGAAACTAATAAAGCAATACAAACAGCTTTCACACACTGTGCTTATTGTGCTTTCACACAGGATGTTTAATGATGGTATGAATGCAGTTTCAGTATGCTGATTACTTCAAATTGAAATCAGCAAACAGTCAACTTCAAAGACAATGAACATCAACACAGGAAGCAACACCTATTTGTAACTCAGTGCAAACGTATGAGCATCAAGTGAGTCCCATCTGCTGCATCCTGGTGTGAAATGTAGCATCACTCTGAGGGTAAATTTGGCTTTACCTTCCTGGCTGCTGCTGTAGAGGTTGTAAGAGAGCAGGTCGGCAGGCAGGAGCTTCGTCACCTGGTCGAGCCTCATCAACCAACCGATTTCCAGCTTCTCTGGTCTGAAGGAGACACGTGGTACACACAGAGCATTTTTAAATTTTGAGGATGCATTTGTTTAACGCAGGATAAAGCAGAATCCTGTACTGAAGTAACTAATAACAAACTAGCTCTAGTTCTAGTCATCCACAAAAAAAAAAAAGAAATCAGGGGAAGCATCATAGATCATCCTCCTTCAAACAGCAATTCTGGTAGTACTTCAGACCAACTTTTAGGGTGACCATTGTAAAGGTTTGTGGTGTGGGGTTGGTCAAATCTACACCGCCATCCTCGTTCCAACTGTCCAAAAACACTAAACAAGAAACAATGACCGATTAAACACTTTAAATCACCTCATGTCTTCTGTAGAAGTTGAACTCGAAAATGCTTCGACTTTAGTGATGCTGTAATAATCATAATAATCATAAACTTAAGTCTAAGAATTCATTCCTAGGTTTCTTATTTGTTCACTTGTTTTTAATGACTTTTTAATTTGGAGTAAAGTTACAGCCTTAGTAATTAAGTTTTAATCAGTGGTTTTTACATTATTGTTATGCCTAGTGCTTATTCTATTTTATTCTATTGACTTTTATTTAATGGATTTTAACATTTTATTGTTGTACTTTTGAGGCTCGCAAAATTTAATATTAAGTTGTATTATCATTATTATCATGATAATTATTATCATAATTATCATTACTGTAATTATTTTGTCTGTGTTGTTTGTGGGGACTTTGAGATCTGTCTTACAGTGTGCAAATGGTAAATGGACTGCATTTACATAGGGCTTTTCTGGTTCACACACACACATTCGTACACAGGGGACCTGATGTGCCACCTGCTCTTCAGAGACATGTGGTGTGTGTGTAAACATTCACACGCCACACACAATTTGGAGTTCAACCCAGGACACGTCAACATGTAGACAGCAAGGAGATCAAACTATAGACTTTCTGACTGGCAGGCAACCACTGTAACCTCCTGAGCTACAGCCGCCCCCTGATGTCATACACTAATGGTTTTTACACAAAGTTACTTCCCATTAAATTAACCAAATGTGCTGCTAACAGCTTCCATCACAGAGTTTAACCTGTGTTTTCTCCGTATATCTAAAATCAAAGGCGGCAGCTATGTTAAAAGGCAAAGACAGGTTGATAAACTGTGGAACTGTCTATCAACTGAAATGAAAATACAACACAATTTTAATGTTTTCAATAGAGTTATTAAATCATGGCTAAATGAGAAACAACATTATTCTCACACTTCATATTACAGTAGACACACCACTATGTATTTTGCATATTGCAAATAGATTTGTGTGTGTATCCTTGGGTATCGATTTGCATGTCTTTATATATGGATTTGTGAATGTATTTTGTCTGTGTATCTGCGTATGTATTTTTGTGGGTGTATTTATGGATGTAATTTCTTTTATTTTCACAATTTAACTTTTAAAAAGCCTCCTGTTCACAGGTGTTGCCAATGAGTGATTTGCTACTAACACGAAACCCAGGAAATCTATGTCTTGTGCATAAATGTGCAATTCTAATGTTACTGTGATGTCCATATCAATTAAACTAAACTCCATCCATCCCGCACCTTCTCAGCTGCAGAAACTATCATCCACGCCTTCATCACCTCCCGTTTGGACTACTGCAACAGTCTACTCTATGGCGCATCTTCAAAAACCCTCAATAAGATCATTTGTATCCAAAACTCTGCTGCTCGGCTACTCACCCACCCTTGCACCCGTGACCACATCACCACCGTTCTCCATAAGCTCCACTGACTCCCCATCCCCAAGAGAATCCACTTCAAAATCCTCCTCCTAACATACAAAGCACTCAATAACCAGGCCCCACTCTACCTGTCTGAGCTCCTCCATCATCACTCTCCCACCCGCACACTCCGCTCTGCCGATGCCAACCTCCTGTCCCACCCCACCCGGACCAAGCACAAATCCTGGGGGGACAGGGCCTTCTCCATCACTGCTCCCACCCTCTGGAACTCACACCCCAGACTCCCCCTCTCTCTACGTATTCAAAAAAATCACTCAAGACTCACCTGTTGCTGCTTACAATCACTGACAGTTTCTTCTCACATCCCCTATTTGTTCTCTTGCTTGTCTGTTTTTTTTGTGTGTGTGTCATGTCCCTTAATTTGTAAAGTGTCTTTGACTGCCATAAAAAGCACTATATAAGTATAATGTATTATTATTATTATTAATAAACTAAAAAAGAGCCTTGAGTGGAATCAGGGAAACAAAGCAACTGTTCTCATCAACACTTCCTGCAGCTGCTTCACAATAAAAGCCTCACACAGAGAAGACTTAATTCAGTAGGTACTTACCCAGCTAAATAAGGCTGAACTTTTCATTTCTGACGGAGCAATGCTAGCTTTCTGATTCTGAAAATACAACCCATTCCTACCTCTGTACTGGACACAGGTAAGTTTGATTTAACCATGTCATGTGTGACTATGGATCACAGCAAACAGTCATATTCTACAGTATTACAAATTTAACAAGTCGGGAAGGTCATTTCAGTACTCACAGTCTGTGGGGCAGGAGTGGAGGAGAGAAGGAGCGAAGGGAGATCTGGAAGAGAACCCGGTCACCTTTCACCAAATCTCCGGTCCACACTGTGAACTGAGCACGCTCTGACACAAAGAGAGAGAGACGACAGCTCATCAGCACTGGTGTCAGATTCAGGGCAAGAAGGGAAAAACAGCACTTCCTATAATGTCCTATATTTGAGCTGTAAGTGTGAACCAGCTTATTTAAGGTCTGTTGTGATTAAATGGAAAAAAAGGAGACTCACCTTTACTCCCCTCTGCTGATTGGCTGTTCAACCTGTCCATCAAACACAGCAAAGAAAACGTCAGTTCTGATACTGAGTGATGAAATCAAGATTGTAACTCATGCAGCATTTAGTTTGTCCACAACCTTTAATTTAAATCTGAATAACCATGTAAAGGAAGTTTGAGCCGATTTCCAACAAACTCTGTCATTTACATTACTGCTGTTTTACAAAGCATATCATCATGATCTCCTTCTGCCACACAGAAGCAATCCAATAAATCTATTTCTTTTCTTTTCTTTTTTTTAAAAATATTTTTTTGGGCATTTTTTGCCTTTAATGGACAGGACAGTTAAGTGTGAAAGGGGGAGAGAGAGAGAGGGGATGACATGCAGCAAAGGGCCACAGGCTGGACTCGAACCCAGGCCGCTGCGGAAACAGCCTTGTACATGGGGCGCCTGCTCTACCACTAAGCCACTGACGCCCCATAAATCTATTTCTTGTTATTGATGACCGAAGATAGAGAAGTTTCTTTAAATAAAAAAAATTGCATTAAAAAATTAACAGAAAAATTTCTTTCTATGTCTCCATTTATTTGTGGGGGGAAAAAATGATAAATCATCACATAAAAACGTGACAATAATTGGCCAAAACATACATAAACACTGATATTATCCTGCAAGACTTGCTTGGATGAGTGGTTCTCGAGATTCATTTTAAACTTTAACTAGTTCTTCATACCTGATGGGGGCCAGAGGTTTGCTGGGGAGTGAGGAGTCTTTTCCTTTAAAGTGGAAGGAGACAACAGCATATGGGCAAACCTGGCGAGGCCGCTCCCGCAGCTCGTCGAATGAATACTCGTAGAAGTATTGCTGAAATGAACAAGAGGGCAGACAGTGTTGAAAGACCTGCTTTACTTCTTTGAAATCACACAACACAAACTTTATATCCAAAGCCTAATAATAACAACAGAAAAAGTGCTGTTGATAACTGTTAAACCATTTTAATAATGACTTTATGTTCTACAGATCAAATCTGATGCAACACTGCATCATTATTTCTGTCCAAATGTAATAATGTCCAGGGGGGATAACTGTGTATTTAATAACGGTTTCTATGAGACTTGTTCTGAGCTCACAGTTGCAAAGATGTTATTCCCTTACTGTGTGTGTTGGTGTGTGTGTATGTGTGTGTGTGTGTGTGTGTGTGTATTTACCTGCGTGAGTTCGAAGGCGCGGAAGGAGGTGAGCGATGTGACTTTACTGGAGTTCTTAGAGATGTGGCTGTCAAAGCGAGGCGTTGGATCTAAAAGGTTCTTCATGTTTTCATAGATACTCTTTACTTTTCCCTGAAACCAAAAACAGACACAACAAGAAGATTTTACTATTTCTATCACTACAAACTAAGTACAGAAAAATAGATTTATAACACGGTCATTGATACAAAGCACCTGACTGCAGGATCAGCTGATGATTCAAATGTTGAGATAATTATCATATCTAGTGTATCTCGTGGACGTTATGTAGTGAGCTAGATAAAAATCAAAAGACCAGTACTAATACCAGTACCCTATATGGGTATGGGTTGTAGCTGCTGTGGTAGTGGGCCAATCACACCGTGCATAAAATCGAAAAATGCTTGCGGTGGTTGGCTGTGAGCAAAACCATACATATTTTCAGTTTTTTCTAAATCTGGCACAAAAAGGATCGAATGTCGGTATCGTTGGACGGGAGAGGTGTTCATACTACTCGGTACTGGGTTATTTCTTGATACCTTAAAGGTGTCGAGTACTGATACCCCGCCCTACTTGTGTATTCCCATTATCCCCAAAGGCACCATGACAAGTACAACTGATGGTCACACGCTGCAGTCATACACTCTTAAGACAGAAAAAATGTACATTTTTAATGACAAATAAAGGCATGACCTGAGCAATGACAAACTATTCTCTTCTAATGATCAATCCCTAGTTTCATATCGATGTAGGATGCAAATCCTCTTCCTCTTTTTACATCACTGGATCTATGCTCGGCTGCACAGACTGAGAGGAAGTCACATTAGATTGGAAAAGGTAGAAAGTTGAAAATGTTTCAACTGCTCCTCCCCACGCGGAGATGGTGACCACCCACAGACTGTAAAAATAATGGACGCAGCTACCATGACGTCATCAAGTGGTTTGTGAACTCCTGTTTTAAAGCTTCGAATTCAGCATTTCAACTGTCGCCATCTTGGTTTTATGGAGCCCAAAGTGGAAGGCAAACTGTAGGAGACCTCGCCAGCCTCATCAATCTCATAAAACGTACGCAGGAGAACACTATTTTCTAATTCTATAGATTTTATCATCAGCAAGTGCTCGGTTGTGGTGGAGGCAGACGATGTAGCAGAGCTCAGGGGGGTGAGTTCAATTCCAACATTAACCAGCTCATCCAGTTTGTCAGTAACTGAAGAGGGGTAAGGCAAGGGAGAGAGGAGAGTGAAGGAATTAGGAGACTGATCAGCACGCTGACATTGGGGCCGTGGTGTTTTGTCTTCGCGGCTGAGGCTGCTAAGTGTCATTAAGCATCATCTCAGGTCTGGCCGATCAGTGTGGCACACTCAGTTCTTTAAGATGCCGACATCCCAGAGAGAGTCTACTAAACCTGTAGATCCCCGTGCTGAGTGCTGGCTGTGGTCCACTAATAAAACAAGCTCTCAGCAAACATCACTGGCCCCCACATGTAGAATGATTTAGTTAACTTTAGGTGTCAGTTGAGTTTCTCTTTATGTAGGAATATGGTTATAAGAGGGAGTAAAGTTAATCTACATTTTGCTAACAGGTAAATGGAGGTATAAAGTATTGAGTTTAGTGGTAGGTTTATAGATTTGTGGACTTTCACACAGAAGAATTGACTCATTTTGATAAAAAAAAAAAATACATCAAAAGAGGGAAAAATATAAATCAAATAAAATGCTTGTTGCAAATACAATCTCAATTATCTAATTTAAGACTATTTAATGACCTTTAAAGGCTAATATTTCTAAAATTAAATTATAAGATTATAAGATATTTTTAGGGACATGCAGACACCCTGCTTCCCCGTGTGTTCCTTTCTTGCCATTTTCAGTTGTCTCAGTCTCTTCGTAATATGTCCTTGTCCTTTCTTATCATCTCACTTTCTGTCTGATGGGGATTTGTTCATGGTTATAATCAGGTTTATAGCTGTATCATCGGGGTGACTGCCTTTAGTCAGCTGCCAAATTCCCAGGATCAAAGTTGGCTGAACTGAATCCATAAATTCTGCCCTCTGTGGGAGTACAATGTGCAGTCTGTGAACGTCATTGATGTGGATGAGCACACAGGCATGGTGACACTGCTGTCATTAGTCCATTTGGGATTTATGCCCCTTTGCTGAACCTCATACCTTATTCCTGTAGTCTAACACAATCTAAAATACATTAGTAAACACAAACAACTGTCCTAAATCCAAAACCTAGAGCACTAAAACTCAAAATTGTCCTTTCATCAGCTATGAAGTCTGGAGCTGCTCCATAGACAATGAATGGTGAAAGATGGTCTAGATGACACAGAGAGCAGCCAGGGAAATGTTCTGAGAATATGGGTACATTTTCTGTTTCAAAACTACGCTCATTTGGATGTAAAAAAGAAAATCATTCCGTGGGCCCACAGTCACTGTCTATGAAGCAGCTCCAGACTTTATACCCTATGACATCAAAAGTTTGAGACTGACTTCACTGGTTTCTGGCTTTGAGAAAGAGCATCGTCACAAATATTGATTAAACACCCAAGGCCATAAAAAGAACATATTTGAATTCTTAATTTAGTTGGTATTCCCCTTTAAGAAGGTGTTAGGGAACTGAAAGTCGATGATGTCAACCCAGAGTTTCTGTCATAAATGATCCTCCTAATGAATGTTCAAACTTAAAAAAAAAAACAATCCTCCAAATGTTTAGTTGTGACAAGGAGCCACTTTATAATCCCTGTATCTAAAAGAATAATAAAGGTAGCTCAAATCAAAGCTACATGAAAACAAAGCAGAGTGCAGGAGAAAAGAGCAGCTGCACTACAGCAAAGCAAGGCTATTGGGGAGATTGCACATGCGCAGTAACATCTGGTCAGCACTTACTCACTGTCACCCTCCAGAATCGCAGCTCAAGTTACACTGCGCATGTGCAGTCCCCCCATGTTTGACCCCGTGTCTCAGCCTTCTATTGAATAGCCTTGCAGCAAAGCAGGAAACAGAAACTCTTGTTACATCACACGCTTCCTGCCATTGACAGGTGAGCTGACTGTGATGATGATGACCAACACCAGCTAGCTGATTTACCTTCATCACTTTGAAGATGATGATCTCCCCTGTGAATCCAGGAGTTATGGGGTTATTCTGAAGCAGGTCTGAGTACCTGGACAGATACACTCCTACAGACACACACACACACACACACACACACACACACACACACACACACACACCAACAAAGAATAACAAAATTAAGATCAAAGGTGATTTTCTTTCCACCTAACACTTCACTCATTCTTTGTGTCGATAAAAGACCAATTCAACAAAGTAGGTTGATTTTAGTGCTGCCTGTGTTCACTAGAAATTACACACTCAGGTCTTGTGACCTCTAATTTCAGCATGCAGGAAAAAGCTCAGAATAAACAATAAATTAATGGGAAAGGTAAAAAATGATAATGCAGTGTTATTTTCTTTGTTTGTATCAGCATGTCTCTGTTCACGCCTACCTTTAGTGGGGTTTCCCAGCACTGTGATCCAGGTCTGACCCACGAACAGCCCCTTCTCACAGAGTGAGTGCAGCTACAACACAAATTATTTTTAAAAAATCAGGAATGCGATTAGACAGGTGCTTGTCTAATTAAGACCTCTCCCTCTCCAGCAATCAACAACTCAGCTCACTGTTAATCTCACCTTTGCAGTATCAGCCAACAGGAAACAGTAGCTCTCCTCCAGCTCCTTGTCTGTCCTCCCGTCTGCCTTCATCTCCTTCCTCTTCTCCACAAACTGAAACACACACACCATGAAGACACTAGAAAGGGATCCAGAGAGTAGAGACCTCCAACGAGGCCAACAGTCCAGTCTGGATTTATTTCCAAAACTATAAGAATTGTGTCAAAATGTGGTTGTGCCTAGCTGAAGCCTCGTCATCTCAGCGGTGCATTTGTTAAATGTAAAATGGAAATAGAAGAAAAGGCGGTCCAAGGCACTCTGGCAATTACACTGAACAAAAATATAAACGCAACACTTTTGTTTTTGCTCCCATTTTTCATGAGCTGAACTCAAAGATCTAAAACATTTTCTATACACACAAAAGACCATTTCCCTCAAATATTGTTCACAAATCTGTCTAAATCTGTGTTAGTGAGCACTTCTCCTTTGCCGAGATAATCCATCCCACCTCACAGGTGTGGCATATCAAGATGCTGATTAGACAGCATGATTATTGCACAGGTGTGCCTTAGGCTGGCCACAATAAAAGGCCACTCTAAAATGTTCAGTTTTATCACACAGCACAATGCCACAGATGTTGCAAGTTTTGAGGGAGTGTGCAATTGGCATGCTGACTGCAGGAATGTCCACCAGAGCTGTTGCCCATGAATTGAATGTTCATTTCTCTTCCATAAGCCGTCTCCAAAGGCGTTTCAGACAATTTGGCAGTACATCCAACCAGCCTCACAACCGCAGACCAGGTGTAACCACACCAGCCCAGGACCTCCACATCCAGCATGTTCACCTCCAAGATCGTCTGAGACCAGCCACCCGGACAGCTGCTGCAACAATCGGTTTGCATAACCAAAGAATTTCTGCACAAACTGTCAGACACCATCTCAGGGAAGCTCATCTGCATGCTGGTCGTCCTCATCGGGGTCTCGACCTGACTGCAGTTCGTCGTCGTAACCGACTTGAGTGGGCAAATGCTCATATTCGATGGCGTCTGGCACGTTGGAGAGGTGTTCTCTTCACAAATGAATCCCGGTTTTCACTGTTCAGGGCAGATGGCAGACAGCGTGTGTGGCGTCGTGTGGGTGAGCGGTTTGCTGACGTCAACTTTGTGGATCGAGTGGGCCATGGTGGCGGTGGGGTTATGGTATGGGCAGGCGTATGTTATGGACGACGAACACAGGTGCATTTTATTGATGGCATTTTGAATGCACAGAGATACCGTGACGAGATCCTGAGGCCCATTGTTGTGCCATTCATCCACGACCATCACCTCATGTTGCAGCATGATAATGCACGGCCCCATGTTGCAAGGGTCTGTACACAATTCCTGGAAGCTGAAAACATCCCAGTTCTTGCATGGCCAGCACACTCACCGGACATGTCACCCATTGAGCATGTTTGGTATGCTCTGGATCGGCGTACACGACAGCGTGTTCCAGTTCCTGCCAATATCCAGCAACTTCGCACAGCCATTGAAGAGGAGTGGACCAACATTCCACAGGCCACAATCAACAACCTGATCAACTCTATGCAAAGGAGTTGTGTAGCACTGCGTGAGGCAAATGGTGGTCACACCAGATACTGACTGGTTTTCTGACCCCCCCAGACCCCCCCAATAAAGCAAAACTGCACATTTCAGAGTGGCCGCATTCCTTGCACACCTGTGCAACATTCATACTGTCTAATCAGCATCTTGATATGCCACACCTGTGAGGTGGGATGGATTATCTCGGCAAAGGAGAAGTGCTCACTAACACAGATTTAGACAGATTTGTGAACAATATTTGTGAGAAATGGTCTTTTGTGTATACAGAAAATGTTTTAGATCTTTGAGTTCAGCTCATGAAAAATGGGAGCAAAAACAAAAGTGTTGCGTTTATATTTTTGTTCAGTGTAAAAAGCTTTATTAAACAGGCTAGTTCATGTAGAACAGATAAAAATTGCCAACATTCGTCAGGGACCAACATGTTTTGGCCTGAGTCGGCCTGAGTCTAGCCTGTTTAATAAAGCTTTTTAATTGCCAGAGTGCCTTGGACCGCCTTTTCTTCTTCTTCCTCATTATACTTCCTCGCCAAGGACCAAAGAGCACCTGCAGTTTTTAACATTTTTTACCTTTTTGAACGCCGCTGCCCTCCTTCCTTTGTCTTTTCTTTGGTAAAATGGAAATACTTGACATACTAACATCCATTTGTAAAAAGACAGGAAACACTTTATTATCATGTACATATGTCCAAATATCAAATGCTTAGACTGAAACAATATCATGAACATGGAGGCTTGTTTAAAAAAAAGTTGTCATGAAAAACTGCATGTTCACAAGGAAGGCATTTTTACTTGAGTCAATTTTTGCAGCCAATTCACATTTGGACGTGAATATAATTAGTTGCATCATACGTGTGCATTTACATATCGAGTGCCACACCTCACTTTGACAAAAGAGCGTTGTTATAATTGTGACTAGGGTTGCAGCAAAAGTTGACAGTGATCATACCTTGTACGTTTGCTTATCTACAATATTGGAAAAAAAAAACTCAACAGAATTTCTAAGTGGAGACTTTTACACATTTTGCTACTGCACCAAATTTTGGATGATGGACGAACAAGAGTAATTCTCCAAACTTTGATTGTATATCATTCATGCATAGTGCTAAATTAAATTAAACAGGACATATTTAAATGGTAATGCTCCTCCTTCCGTCCACCTCTCACCTCTTTCTCCAGCAGTTCACTGTAGATGAGCCGAGGTTTGCAGTAGGTGAAGCAGCCAGCAGAGCTCGTGTCCATGTAGCTGGAGGTCAGGATGGTCATCATGTCTTCATACTCCCTGGACTCAGTGGAGACATACTGCTCCAGAGCTGAAAGACAGACACAAAGGTCAACATGTATTTACACTCCCAGGACTCACTTATGATCCTTAAGCATATTTTCCACTGAGCTCTTGTGTAGACAAAACAACCGTTAGTGTACAGGTTTGATGTAGGAGCCATGATTCACTGACTACACCTACACAGCGTAACAATCTGTTCAATCTGCTAACAACTGTCAGAAGCTTCTGACCAAGAAGCCTGATTCCAGAGCCGAACATTTACACAACATGGCCAAGAGTACGTGGACACCTGGACATTGTGACCATATGTGACTGTTGTGAGTCACATATGTATGCAACTGACTCGAAGCTCAGCTTTAAGGCTGGTCAATTATTGTCAGGCCAGTGGAAGAGATATTTACTTGCCCCATCAGACAAGTTCAAAGTCATAAACAACAACAAAAAAATCAGTGTGTCCTCACCTTTACTCCTCTCTTTAGTTAAATTAATGCATTCAGTAATTGATATAAAACAAACGCCACGATATGTCCAACTCAGAATGACTTGATTAACCAATCAGGAGTCGATCCCAGTGTTTTTCTTAGGTCACAGTCACTCACACAAAAATGCAGGTGAGTGAGCCTCGCCTGCTGAGGCAATATTTGTACTGAATGTGAGCAGTGTTGGATGTGATACACACAGATGAATGTTAGCTAGCTTGCTAATAAACACTGCATAATATGAAGTTATTCGTACATTTTCCATTTTCTTATGTTCCATGGTTGTTTAGTGACTCACAAACAGCCAGGCAGCATCTCTCCTGTGTGGCTGTTTTTATTTTTCATGGCCAATATCATACAATATCTGCTGTGAACACACATCAACAATCAATATCTCCACAAATATGTCTCTGCTGTTGGTCGAAGCTGCAACTTCAGCGGTCAAAGTTCATCAAAGTTTAACTCCATGACAAGATGAAAATTTGGAATTTAGCACGTTTTGTTCGGCCCTTGGCTCGCATAGGATGGACGCGAATAGGTGGCGAATATTTGCGAATGGTAATTTCACCTTTGTGTGACCATGCCTTTACATGTCTTTGTTGAATACTCGATTCTGATTGGTTGATTACGACATTCTACGGTCTGTTATTCCAATAGCAAACCACTGCTGTAAATAACCGACCATTGCTATGGACACAGTTTTGATCACAGACTCTGAAGGAAGCATTAAAATATTTTTTAAACAAAAAAAGGAGGTGGGAAATTATTGATTTCTTTAGTAAATCGCAGTGTAATCAGCGGGATTATGTACAGGGAGCAGGTCAGTAATGCGAAATTAACCCTGACAGAATGATGCAGGTCTTAAATCACCCTCAGCTGTATGTTATCCTTCACATATAAAAGCCTCCATTCTTACAGTTTTTACAAGATGGACCTGGCTGCAGGGATTTACTCCCATTCAGCCAAAAGAGCATTAGTGAGTTCTAACACTGATGTTGGGTGATAAAGTCTGGCTCACAGTCGGAGTTCCAGTTCATTCCAAAGTTTTGGATGCAACTGAGGTCAGGGCTCTTTGCAGGCATGTTAAATTCTTCCACACCAAAATGGAAAAAACATTTTTTATGGAGCTGGCTTTGAGCACAGGGGGCACTGTCATGTAGAAACAGGAAAGGGTCTTGGCTGAACTGTTTACACAAAGTTGGAAACGCACTATTGTCTAAAATGTCCTTGTATGAACAAATGGGCCCTAACCAGGGAAATATAAAAGAAGGAACGATCATGATGACAGTGACGGCGTTCGGTGTCAGTTCTATGGGGAGTCAATGGGGCGGGCACGGCAATAGACTCCAATAGAACTGACACCAAAGTCTTGCTCCTCGACTGCTGTCACTGTCATCATGACTGTTCCTTCACTTATATTTCCCTCAGCCCTAACCAAGAAGAACAGTGCACCAAAGTAAAGTATCAGCAGTCAAAGTAACACACCAAAAGATACTTTTTACATCTTTTATATCCTCACTATCTAACCAAATAGTGTAACCTTAGCTCATAAGGAAGTAAGTTAAATTTGGATCATGACGCTGTTTGCCAATAAACTGACAGTAACTGTGATATGCTACAGCCTTCCACCTTCATCCACAGCAGCCTCCAGACAAATAAAAAGTTGTTTCATAAAAAGCTGTGCTCATTCACACTGTCTAATTCCTGTAGTTGTTGAATTAACAAATTTCACATGTAGCAATATTCCCAGATTAATGTGTAGTAAGTGTTTGAATAATGTAAACCCTTTATGTAGCTTTCAGGATCTTTCAGGTGAGCCTCACCCACACCCAAATGAAAGGTTCGGGCATCTGGGGAGCCGTCAAAACAAGTAGTAGCCCCCGCAATTATAACAAGACTATTGTAGGCTTCTTTGTGCCAAATTCTCAGGAGACTACCTGCAGCAGCTGCCTCCATCAGTGTGGAGGAGGGGGCTCAGCTGGAGCATCAAACACCTGAGAGAGGTGGGGGCGGTTTGCAAATACATCCACTCATGACAGAAATTCAACAAAAGATGATTTACGGTAATAACGCGGAAAACATTTTTGTGTGCCACATTGTAAGGCAAAAACACTTTGCATCAACAGCTGGTTCCACTTTGATAAAGATCAGTGATTTGTTTGTCAGTGCCTGAAGCATCAAAGTAACCCACAGCTTTTCCATTTACACCATAGGTCACACATAAGACAAAAGACATTTGTGGTGTTCAGAAGCCCTTATAATGTGGCTTCTTAAAGTACAGCTGTGAGAGCCCCTTCTCTCTTCATTTGTACACATTCTTGTCCGGTTACTGCACTAACTCAGCTTCTCCCGTGGAGTCTTTGTGCTCTCTGGTCTCGCAGGTTCCCTTAGATCACAGTTACGCCTGAATCGGTCATGGCTGTGCCGCTGCTGTGTTCCTGCCTGGTGCCTACTACTGCTGCTATTGTTATAAGTCACACTTCTACCATTATTATACGCATTTAAGTCACATACATACACTGTCATATATTAATATAGACATATAACACATATACTATATTTCTGTAATTATTCTCGTTAGTGTTGTGGCTGTGCATCTCTCACTCTCTGTCTTTCTATGCATCATTTTGTCATATGGATTACTGTAATTTTATAATGTTCACCTGCTCTGTACACACAACATCTATTGCATGTCTGTGTGTCCTGAAAGAGGGATCCCTCCTCAGTTGCTCTGCCTAATGTTTCTATCATTTTTTTCCTGTTAAAGGGTTTTTTGGGGGAGTTTTTTGCGCATCCACTGTGAGAGTCTGAGGACAAAGGGATGTTGTATACTGTAATGCCCTCTGAGGAAAACTGTGATTGGTAATGTTGCGCTTTATAAATAAAACTGAATTGAATTGAATACAGCAACATGTATTTTACTATGCAATAAGAAAATATTTATGCAACTCAAAACAACAATAAAAATTCACACCATGTGTTTCCACCCAAAGCTGGATGAAAAACAGCAAAGACAAAAGTCACTTTGAGCAAATATCAAAGCTTTCACATACTTCCAAAACAAGCTGATGGATGCTTTAAAATAGCATGTACTACAGTTGCAACAGACCTCCCTAAAAACTGCCAGTTTGGTTCAAACCAGGGCTTTTTAATTCACTACTGATTGCAGTTCACTGTCAACGACTGGTTGGGGATAGAAGAAACTCAAATCAATGGGGAAACACACTTCTTAAGTACCTGCAATCCCCCAAAACAATGGGACACACTTAACCTCAAACCTGTGCATTAAAAGACCAAACCTAACCTTAACCTCCACCTTAAACTCTCCCAACTTAATCAACAACAATGTCCTCATTTAAGAAGTTTTCCCTTTGTCTTTGTGACAACATACAGGAGCACTCACACTGTCATGTGCACACACACATGCCAATATGAAGCTGAAATCAAACGTTTAAACGCCGAACTGAGTTTATGAAATGTGTCACTCGCAAACAAATCTACTGTTAGCTGGCGACTGAAAACAAACGTAAACAAGCACGTTAGCTGCCGGCTAACTGCTAGCTAGCTAGCATCCTTTCTGACTTGATGTTAGCCGCTAACTTTAACACACATTAAAGCTTCTACTAAACTTTTGTGACGTTAGTTTCTTTAATGTGTAATAATGAGTAAATATACACAACAGCACAGTTAAATATGTGACATTTTATGTTATACATGTTAAGTTATGTGTCGTTTATGCTCTCTGACTAAGCTAACAGCAAAATCAGGAATGGACTTGCAATGTTGTCCGATAATGGAATCTTTCCGTTACTCCCGCACGTTAATGGGAAGGATAACTTCAGGGCGACGATTTTAAAACACATACAATTAGTTTAAATATAAAGGTAAGGGAAAATACACAACTTCTGGTTACTATATTATGGTTTCTTGGATTGCATTAAGACCAGCCCACCTCTCTTTTCCTTGGTTTTCCTCGGTATGTGGAACTTGAGGGGCTCCCTGGGCATATGCCTCTGATGGAGCACTTGCGGAGCCGAGTTCCTCCTCTGCATCCTCCCGCCAGCACCGCTCGGTCTCTCCGGTCCAGATTGAGCCTCCTTGGCTGGGTGTACCTCGATTACCTCGCCATCTTGCAGGCTAGCGTTAGCTCCCACCTCCGCGGCAGCAGACACCCTCCTCGGCGGACGCGCTGCGCCCCTCCGAGCCGGGTGGTTGTCCATTGAGTCGGCTTCTCGACCAGACCGACGCGTGTCTTTGCAACGGTCAATGTGACACTGTTTGTCGGCTGCAGTCCTGCGGTGACACCGCTGTTACCTCCTGATCCCACAGCGCAGGGAGACGAACCAACACACAACCCGCGCCATGCTCTTCCTGGAAACACAGGTCTTCTTCACTGAGATTTCACTGCAGCTGGTAGTGATGCTGCTCTACTGCCATCTTCGGGATATAATCACCACCTACAGCGTCAGTTTGATTATTATTGGAGATCTAGAATCACAGTCAGAATCATTCACATACAAACTGTAAAAAGTCAGATATGAGTGCATGGTGCTGCAGTGGCATGCAAAGGGTGAACCTGAAACATCATTGGCCTAATGTAAATTACCATGTGTGTCTGCCTGTGACCCTGTGAAAGGTCATGTCTCAGCTTCTGATCTGTTAGCAGTTAGTTATCATATTAACCTCATGGGGTCTTCACCTTACATGAAGATGTTTAAAACCAGCCCATAGTGTCAGGAACAATCCCTGTGCATTAACAACAAGCAGCCACCCTACCAGTAAATTATGTTTTTTACACACAGCACACTGTATCCATCTGCCTCATGTATTTAGAGAACCTGTTGTGTGTATATCATATTTACAGTGGTATGCAAATGTTTCAGTACCCCAAATCAAAATTTTGTTTACTGTGAATAGTTAAGTACATAGGAAATTGGCTGATCTCCAAGAGGCACAAAGTTATAGATGACACATTACTTCAATATTTTAAGCAAGCTTACTTTTTGATTTGACCTTTTCCTGTTTTAAAATAACAAAAAGGTAGAAGGACCTGAAGCAAAAGTTCGGGCACCTTGCAGGTACTTAATAGAGCCCCCCTTTGGCAAATATCACAGCCTCTAGCTTTTTAGAAGAAGAAGAAAAGAAGATATACTTTATTTTTTCTCACTTCATCAGCCCACAAGTCTTGTTTCCAAAAGCCATCAGCTTGTTTAGATGTTCCTTTGCAAACATCTAACACTGAATTTTGCAGTGAGGACACAGGAAAGATTTTCCTCTGATGACTGTTCTACTGTGCAAGTGTGGTTGCACAGTAGAACAGTGCACCACCACTCCATTTTCAAATTACTTTTATTTTAATTAAATATATTTCCTTATACCAGTATTTTGTATTTTATTGTGAAACACTTGATAAGAAAGCATTTGATATCTGTAACAAGATACGATTTGATGTATTTGTGCCCATGTTGACTCTTTCTCTCGGCCTGAATCCTCAGCTGCGGTCCTCAACTGACATGATTGAAAACTCTTATTCTTCAGAATCCTCCAGCTCCACTACAGCTTTTACTTCCAGTAGAAAATCCTACAGACAGAGTGAGCTTCTTGTTTATCTTGGTCATTTTCCTCATCACACACATATTGTACTTATACTAATTCTCTCTGTGTCCTTCTTTCGTCCCTGTGTTCCTCTCTCTTTCACACAAACTAAAAGCAGAAGACTAAGGAGAGTGTAGGAGTGTAACCTTGTCATGAGTGAGATGTTGAGTAAGACCTCATATTGGATGGTGAGACAGAATCTGTGAAAATACTGTAAATCACATCCTCATGTACTTTGAGAGAACACGGTCTAGAGCACAACTATGTGGGAGAAGATGTGGGGCAATTAATGTTGACCATTCCCATGTAGGCACCAAATGGGATGGGTTTTAAGGACCCTTGGGTCTTTTTCCAGTGGGTTTTAGTGAGTCATTGCTGTGTTTGTAGTGGCTTTTCACCCTCAAACATGTTTTTTTTTTTTTTTTTTTGGCAACCCATCACTAAAAAAAAGCAGTTGTTTGTTAGTGAGACATTGCTGCTCTTCCAACTAGGATTGTGCCCCTAACTGAGTATTTTAAGCCAAAAATGATCTTTTCTTAACTATAACCAAATGTTGTTTTTTTTTTGTCTAAACCTAACCACGTTAACCACAGCATTAATGAAACATAGTTTCATCATATCCTCTACATAACACCAACACATCTGTGGTTTGCAGAAACGTACAATGCCAACAATTTTTCTGGCAATTGGGTTGAAACATGAGAACAAACCTGCCCTGTTACTACTGTTACTAGATGCAATAAGCAAACTAAATCAGGAGGAAGTAGTAGCTGAACTTTTAGACCCATTTTTCACCGTTAAAGAGGTGTTCCTCAGGGTTCAATCATAGGTTTTCATAGGTTTTCTCCTCACAATCCACATTAATATCCTGGGGCTGTGTGTTTTAAATATGCATTTGTGTTAAAGCACATTTATTTTAGCCTTCATTTTAACATGACAACATTTTCTTTGCGACCCCCAGTAACCACACACTCAGTGACGAGCTTCTTTCACAACAGTTTATTGATGCTTTGGTCTTGTGACAATCCACACATCAGTTAATTCCTCAAAAGAACAACTGACAGCATCACAACTATCCTGACGATTGTCATTTATAATATCAAACTGATTGTCTTGACATTGTAAGTCACATCTTACATGTAATCTGTAAGCACATATATAACAAACAGACATGCTTGGCTTTGTTCCTACATTCATATACATATAGACTTAATATACATTCTTTACATACATACAGTACATACACAACAGGCTCCTCTGATTGTCATGAAGAAACACTGAATATTTCAGCTCTGTAGTGACACGTCCAGCACCTGTTTCAGTTGTACAACATATGGAGGCAAAACTGTCGGGATAGATAGTCAAAGCTGAAAATCCACTTAACGTGTGTATAATTCATTGGGAATGCCTTAAGTAGACTTCATGCTAAATTTACAATACTGTATCAGTAACGGTGTCTCCCATGAATAAAAAACATGACACCATAAAAATATTGTTCTGAGTATCACAAACACTCCAACTTCAAGAATTAATATGTAACTTTACTGCATCAAAATGTCTAAAAATGACCAGACCAATGTTAGATATTTTATTGTATTGTGTGCTAACATTATCCAAAATGTTTCCAACAATGTTCAAACTTAGGGAAATCTGTAATTCCACTAGAGGACATAGCCTGTGTCATTTGGCCGCCATCAACTGTCAGTGGCATCATATCCCCTGTCTGCCAGGAGCTGTCATAAATTGACTTTATATATCCAGTTTTAAGCCACATTTCTATGACAGACTTTTTAAATCTTCGGTATTTAAACTACATGTTTTGACCAGATGAAGGATTTTAGTGCTTGACATCTGAATTTTAAGGTATCAGAGAAACAAGCTGAGCAAACGGTAACGGCAGCTCCACTCCACCCAATGCTATGCCAAACAGCATTGGAAAATGCTGATTTTTAATATTAAACTGCTGTATTCAGTGTTTTTGCCTGTCTTAATCACCTGGTCTTGTTGTTTTGGAGAGGAGGAGACCTCTGCAGATAATTCGGCCCCTGAAGAAAACCTCCTAAACATCTGGATTTTAAGTTTTCAGAGAAACAAGCTGAGCAACCATTAGCAGCAGCTTGGCTCTAGCCAATGCTATGCCAAACAGCATCGGACAAACACTGATTTTTAATATGAAACTGCTTTATTTAGTGTTATTGGTGGTTTTAATCACATGCTCGCTTTGTTTCGGAGAGGAGGAGACCTCTGAGGATGATTCAGCCCCTGGTGAAAACCTCCTAAACATCTGGATTTTAAGTTTTCAGAGAAAAAAGGTGAGCACACATTGGCAGGAGCTGGGCTAGCAGCCCCTCCACAATGAGCGAAACAGCTGATTGCAGCTTGTTGTGAGCCAGCTCTATTCAGTGTTTCCACCAGTCTTAATCACATGATCTGTTTGTTCTGGAGAAGAGGAGACCACTGTGGATAATTTAGCCCCTGGTAAAAATATCCCGAACAAGGAATTCTAACCAGGAGAAACTGACCCCAATGATGACATTACTTCGTCTTTTGTTATCGTTTTCATTGGAGGCCTAGTGGCAGAAAGTTACATATTGTACATTCAAGTCTTTGAACTATAAGAATTTGAGCCATTGGGTTCAATAAAAATTGAAGTCTTGAAGAGTGTGCCATTCATGTGTGAGGCGAGTCAGCAAGAAGTTGGTAAAAAAAAAAAAAAGAAAGAAAGAAAGCCTGAGGAACCTTGAAAACATTTTTGCAGTGTGTGCCTGGTGAGCAACTTTCACTGGAATGAGTAGGGCACCATCTTTGAACATGGTGTCCTGTTCTCTCAATACATCCATGCAGTTATGTTGCATTCCATTTAATTTGGAAGTTGGATGTCGGAGCAGGGAATGATATCACAACCGAGTTGACTGTGTTGTAGTACAACAAATTGGAAAACCAAGGTGTTGTTAGCAACACTAGCTCAAGACGGGTTAGCCATTGTTAGCAATATGAGTTGATAACAATGTATTATGCTGCATTTTGCGCATACTAACACTGTAGCAACATGTCCACACGTAGAAGTTGGACATGGCTCTGTGTGTGACTGTTTTAATGAGACACAAATGGGACAGAAGTGCTAACAAACACTACTGTTGAGGGGCAGGGCAGCTGTGTTGAATTTTGGGGTTGTAAATCTGACTTTAGGGGGTGTTCCAGTTGAAATTTCCAACTTGGAACTCTGAAAGTCTCAACTTTCCAGTACAACTGGAACGCACCATCAGTGCAGTTAACAGGGCCAGTCTTCCAGGGTAGTGGTGTCCATTGTTGTAGCATTCTGGGACAAAGTGGTTGCCGTGGTTACCAGCAGTCAGGATACAGCAGTTACAGCCTCCCAGAAGACACTGATTAAAGCGTATAGACCATTTCACTGGGATTGCATTGCTAGGCAACAGCTTGGGTCCATGTTTACTTCCTGTCAGCTGATGTCATTCACGTACACTGCAAAACATTCAAACAGGAAATACAAAGGAACCCAGAATGTTCATGTTGTCAAGTTTTAAACTGTCCATTGACAAGTTTATCTGATGTTCTATTGACTTTGTCAGTCAGTGACATCATCATCAAGTCCATGATTTGATTGGCTGTCAGTCTCTCAGTTCCCAGCATCAGCACCTGAGGTCCAGCTCCTCGCATTCCAGCGAGTCATCCTCGCTGGTGTCCATGCCGACCTCCTCTCCCTCCTCAGTGCCCCTCTGCTCCTCCTCCATTACATCCCGCTCCTCCTCC